ACATCTGCCTTTCGCGCGCGTTACATAGAAAGAAAACATTGAAATTCAGCAAATTTTTGATGGAAATACAATTCAACAGAAGATTGGATTTCAACTTTAAAAAGCCAATCAATTTTCAGCATTCATTAGAAACCCAAAACGAAGCTCCCGCCAACCATCTTCGCTATAAGGATCACGGTATAAAAACTTCTTGTCAGGCTGCGTGGCCACTTTTGTAACAGGATTAAATGAGGAGGATCCTTGGACAGTAAATGCAAAAATATTATTAGAGATTCCAAGTATCGGTCCATTGCGGAGCACTGTGGTGGGGTCAAATAATTGTTCACGTGCTCTATTCTGTTGTGCCCAACCCCGCCTCGTCGCTCGTAGAAGGACAAGGATCAACTCGATTATCTCAACCGAAAACAAGCAGTGAAGCAGAACTTTATCTGCTCCCTCAATAGCTCAATAGCGTTGCTAGTGGCTGTTCAATGAATGGACCTATGGCCTACCTTCGACCGGCTCTGAAAAAACCTGAGCAGGACCCTTGCGAAAAATTAAGAAACTGGCTTCCAAAGGCGGAATTTTCAGCGAAAGATGATGCGCCACACATGAGGTTATGTCGAAACATTCCGGCAGATCTTCTCCAGCCTTTCCAAAAGGAGGTGTGGAATTTCGTTATTGATTTTCATTCATGTCCCATACAGCTGACCTTGGGCCAGAATATGAAAACCAGCTTGATACAATTCGCGAACGGAGCATCCCCGCGGGAACCCTACGGCACTCTAACAGTGATCCTTTTACACGAAGACAATGCAAATGTGTCTCTTGTCAATCACGACGCAAACATCCCACTAGCGACCGGTGACTCGATAGAATGGAGTGGGTTGATAGAAATATTGAATTCGTGTGTCTGTGTGGTGACCTGGAGCAAAGAGACTATATGATAGTCTCCTCCAAGAGATGGGTCATTGTTCAGGTAAGGGAATACCTGTTATTTGGGAGAAGGATGGTATACAATAGTCAAATGAAGTAGATGGAAGCGCTGCCGTTTCTTGAGGAGCTGAGAAGCCGGAATGCGGTAAAACAGGTATCTCAGATATGGCATTGAAAGATGGAAGAGAATAAGAAAATGTTTCTGCATCTGCAAAATCCGGAGGACATGTCAAATACAGATCGCGTGAGTCTATATGTTCTGTTAGCTGTCGAGATATTGACCAGTCGACAATCAATGACCTACGTGAGTCATCTTGGTGAATTTGGGGGAGCGAACATGCCGTCTGACGTCCGTGGACTGTATATTGCGGATCTGGACTAACAAGTCGAAGTCGATGGTCACATGTCACTTGCTGTGGGAAACCCTCAGGGCTTGGATTCCTGCTCAGGGAAGCTCTCTCCTGGTCTGTGGGAGTCAGTATCATGTTGATGGATCTCATTGCCCGGAAGGCTCACCCGATAGATTTGGAATGAAATGATTGGGATCTTCCACAGAGGTTGTCTGTAGTTGTACTACATTGGTCGACAGAATTGGATTGGGAGACGGGCCGTCTAGATTTGAATCGGTCCTGCTGTCAATGCGACGTCTTTTCCGCGCTTTGTGCAGTAAGTCACTTGCAGGCTGCGAGTCCCTTTCGGTTTGGGATTCCACCCCAAAATCAGCTTGTCTGTCCAGGGAAAACTGATGCACGGGAAAGAAGAGCCTTTGTCTTTCCAGTTCATCCATGGCATCTGAACCAAATGGATCTAGGTACCATTTTGCAAACGATTCCAGAGCAATATCAAAATTGCAGTGTAGAGCATTACACACGTCGGAAAATCTAGAGGCTAATTGTAAGTAAAAAGCGACAAGCGAAACGGTTCATAGACGTACTGGACACTTTTGCCAAATATGCATTTGATGATGCATGGAACAGAGAGATGGTTTGAATGCAAACTCGCTGGGCTTTTCTTATATTGATCTTTTTTCAGGTGGTCCGTAAACATGGATATCGATTGGGTTGCTTTCGCCCAGTACCTCAATGAAGTAAAGGTCGGGGTAACTAGATCCATGTGTCAGCTCCATATGAACCCGATTGGCAAGAAGCCTGACAGTAAAACAAGATATCACCACTTCTGATATCCCAACCGCTCTCTGCTTGAAGCCGGTCAATTGCCTCGGCCCCCCAAGCCGCACCATGCCGAAGTTCCTGAAGATGGTTGGCTCCGCCTTTTGAAATATATCCCATCATCTGGTTCACCGATTTTGGATCCACACCAAGACAACATGCAACATGGCAAAGCGCACCTAGCAAGAAATTCTGATAGGATGCCATAGATTTCGCCCACTTCGCATTGCCGGCGCATTTTTGTGCGAGCGAAGCATAAGCCCCAAGAGTTTGAATGATGTCTGAGTGCCGAGAACGGATAGTTGATGTTGGGGAATCACTGTCTCTTAGGCAATTTTCGTTTTGGAATAATGAATCCAGAATGGAAATTTGAGGGAGAGATACGGCACCAGACCACTTTTCTGCGCAAGGGATCCTGTTGATGAAATTTTCTAAAGGTTTCTTCCACGTTTCTTCTGACCGAGATGAACCCGATAGCGAAACCCCCTTACGCTTGGTCGCTGAAAGGGGTTGAGAAACGGGAGGCCGGAGAAGATGAGATGAGGTGATTTCGCGTGGAATTTGAGATCGCACAAGGACATGCGGTGGGACGTAAGGCGTCCATTCTCTCAGTATCTGCCGAAGGCCATAAATCTGCCTCTCCAAATCGGCGACATAGTCGGAAGCATTGCTGGGTTCCATCTCGCGCTCAAGGAAAGATGAAGTACGATGTAGAATAGATGGTTCAGACCACTGGGAGACAGCGGGGAAAGCGAGTCAACACGAAATCTACTAACAAAGAATGATTGGGCGTGACAGGGGTATGGGCTCCCAACCCATACCCCTGTCACGCCCAATCAATTGCGGGGCAGCATCTGCCCAACGCATGAGCTCACATGCACGTACGCTCCTCTTTTCGCGTGCCAACTTCTTCTTCTGGCCACTACAGATACCCGTGTCGACAAAGCCAGCATATGCAAGGCCAGAGAGGCGAAAATGGACTCAAGATACGTGGATGGGGTATGATACTAGTGCTTTCAAAGGTCCATGCATGTTCGTGCTTGCAGTCTGGTGCTAGGCTGCCGCTAGTAGCTTACATATGAGCTTTATAATTGATGGCATATAAAATTCGAGAAGTATTGATATCTCTCAGTGGCGAGAATATTATCTGCTTGAGCCTACCTAAAGTTCGGTGTATGCTTTTGAGTTGCATATCTCCCCTCTTTACCTCCCCGGGCAACTCGCATGATTCTACTCATGCATAGGCGGACCCGCTAGACCCGAACCAAGAAACCCAGCTGATGTTTGAAGCCTTCCATCTCCACTGACGCTTTGAACGCAAATTATTCTACACTATCAGAAGCTGGCTGTCCAACCGACCTCATGCACTGCCTGTCTTCTGAATCGCTCCGGTCTCTTCTTCCGAACTGGATACAATCCCTCTGGATATCAGAAGGAGAACAAAATAGAGAACGCCTGGATCAAACTGTCCCCACTGTTCCCAGCCCGTATACGAGAACTGAACCAGCGGTATATAAGCTTCAAAACTCGGAAGTTGCATATAACGTCACAAAGCCTCTACCAGTTTGCATTTCAAACCAAACAGAGAGACTGCCACGGACACGCACTAAACCACTTGAAAATTATATTTGTGGGTTTTCCTGCAAACTGCAAGCCTTTTCTATTACCTTCTCACATTTCACTTGCTAGCAACCCGACCCCAAGCCATCTCCATGAAATTTGATGACAACACAGACTGTGAGACTATTGTGCTTCCTGGCATCCCTCCAGGCATTGAATTTGTCAAAGGCAGGATTACTTGCATGGGAGAGAAACACCCATCACCTGAATGGTCAACTATGTGTTTGAAAAACAACAAACTGGCTGTGATCATGTTGTCAAACATTAGTCAAGGACCGAGTCTTCAGTAAGTACTCTTCTTCATTCTCAGGCTTGTTGAAGTAATCTAATTTTCGATAGCCGGACCTCTAGTGACCGATCGGCCAGTGTGGAAATATTCCCGGCACTTTCGCGGTATAATCATATGGCTAACTTTCGTGGCCAGATTCATAAGTCCCGATACAAATTTCATAAACAGAAATATCACGATATTCTACAAATTACTCTCTAAATTGGATGCCTATTCTTCGAATTTGAGCGGATGTGGAATGGAATGGAAACCTATAGCTTTAGCACTGGCGTTTCTGCAAATTCTTCTACCCTTATGAGGGACTTCACTAAAGTGATTTTCCCAATAAAATGAAATATAACTTGGCAGATTATTGACCCTTGGACAGTCCCTGATCCCTTTCCAACGACAGTAGTTACTGTTATTCTAGGGTGGGGAAAGGAGTAGCAGCTGGCCAATGACATAAGGGCCCAGTATAGGAAAATGATTGGCTCAGCGTTACTCTTTAACCTAAAGCAACAATGCCCTAGTTACTAGCTGAACACTATATAGAAAATAATCCAATCATCGTAAATTAACATTCCTATCAATACTTTTGGTTTAGATATTACATATTTTGGCAAGATCGGTGCCGGTAGGCGATTAGTGAGGCCATCAAATAATGGCCTTGCATTTTACTCTGTTCCTAGCCCCTACGAAGTACACTATTCCGCAGGGGCTTTTGAGCTTTACACAGTATCCCAGGAAGCCACATACATCAGCTTGTGGAATTAAAACGATTTCTGCAACGTACCAGCTTGTCAAGGCTATTATGGAATGTCAAATATTTCTAGGATGTGAGTAGAGTAGGTACCCATTCAAGTATATAAAGACAAAGACCTCTCCCAGAAATCTCCGAAAGAAAAGCAAGCGTTAGATCAACAAAAATGGAATTCCCTTTTTGTGGTACGCTCTTCAAACCACTATCGCATCATTATAAAGCTAACCCAAGGACCCCCAGATCCTGATATATCCTTACATATATTTAGACGAATAGGGCCACACATCTATGACGTTCCAGATGGTCAGAAAGAGTATACCTGCTAGGCGAGGCTATATTAGCTAATAACCTACAGACTTTATCATAAAACTCGATGCAACGAATTGCCCTATGTACGAGCCTGTCGACAACAAATTATGGATCCTGTGCGCCGGAAGCAGCACTACTACACATTTTACACTTGATCGGATATACGAAGTCCTTCTGGAATCTGAGACCTGCAACCATATTTGGGATCTATTCGAAAAATCCTTTTTATTTTCGATTTCCCGGACGTCGAAGATAGAAGAAATATGCTCGGTTAAGCCAGGTGTCTATACAGTCCCTAGCGGTAAGAAGCGTGTTATGACTTGTTAAGTTAGAGATAGAGGCTGACATGCGATAGACTTGATGATAATGCGCACGAACAGACAGGCCTCCAGAGGAGGTTATTCTTACAAACTTATTTCGAAAAAGTTACACAGCGATTGTCAACGCCTCTTTGCGCTTGGCCGAGACGGACAAGAACTTATGCTCGCTGAGATATACGCGGGTCTATCGATTCTTGGTAAATTCTCGAGGTCTATACTCCTAGGAATGATTGCCATCATGAGGGACTGGCTTCGAAATCAAGAGTTTTCCATTACCGATGAGGGGGTGTTGACTAGGCTTGTCTTACAATTAGGGCGGCCTGTCAAAACCCAGGGCATTGCTAATCTTGTGAAAACGCGGGTTGTCCAAGGCGAATATCGTATGACTCAACTTTTACGGAATGGAGACCATTGGGATGCCAAGTGCGAAATGTTGGGTTCTCACTATTGGCAGCAACCGACGGGAACCCCACAGGAACTCTTGAATGCTTTATGTTGAAGGACGCCCTTTTACCACCGCTCCATTTTCTTTGATACTTCACATTAGTATATACAATTGTATTTCTCGTTACCTTTTCCCCCTTACCCACAGAAGAATAGGCGGTTCGTGAGGGGCTCCATCGGGTCTGGTGGAGGCCAATCGGGTGATCCCTCACGAACTAGAGCAGCTTTCCATCTTCTATCCGTTGATTCATGTAACTCACATGAATTATTGTTACTCCACTTGGCCATAGAGTTGTGTCTCTCAAGAGAGTCTATCTTAGAAACCTACGAACATCTCACAGATTAGACAATACGTCCTAGCCATATATCTATGTATAAAGCTACACTAGGTTGCCTTTCTGTCCAAATACGCTTGTTTTTATCATGGTCAAGTAATTGCTGTTATGCTATGTGCCCATCCGCACCCTTTATACTTACCTCTATTGAATGCAGTGCGAGAGCTAGCTATGTACCCTGTCACGAGCATTCCTCAAGCCCTAAACAGTATTCAGAAAGCCGTAGCTATATGCTTGAATGGTAAGTCGACAGCAACGGCAGTCCTAGCTAGTCCTGCTCCGTAAAACTATGTGGGTATTCACCCACCGGGACATTGCGGTCACCAAATAGGCGTGGTAGTGATCAAACCACCTTTTCCTAATTTGGCCTAACTCTTAAGCATCTTATACACCCTGGTAAACTGGTGGCGTCGCAAAGCTCGGCAAGATGGTTTATGACTGGGCAGCGCTCTATTCTCCTGTGGACCACAACACACATAGTCATGCTGACCATTATCGGAAGGCCACATAATCCTAAAACGGTATAGCTCGGAATACATACCCTACATAGACATTATATCGTTCATGGTGCCCGAATCGGCCTGTCGAGGCCACCCGTCATATCAGTTGGTTAAGCCAATGAACCAAAGTTTGCGTAATAGGCCCATTTAATTAGAGTAATTCCACATTGATGCCTATTTCGTACCTTTTACCTCGCACCTCGCACCTAGCCTTTTTGGAATGGGGGTGGACTATAAAGGTGATAGATAGCCCACCCTTTTCTCAATATACCCGATAATCCTTCAGCATCGTTGCTCACAAGATCCGTGACTCCGGCCCAAGCTTCCTTCAGAGCGCGTTTAAGCCTGCTCTGTTATCTCGCTGATCACTTGTTGCGAGTCTCACATTAGGCGCTTAGACTTGTCATTGTAAGTACCTTTTTTGATCATTCCCGTCCATCAGCTTACCTTGTATAATACCCAGCCGAAACCCCACATCGCAAAATGAGCAATGATCGAATTCCCGCACACTTGGATACCCTCGGAAGCACTCAATATCAATTTACAAGCCTAGCAGAGTGTGATATCGATGAAGCAATTCGGCACAGTATCGTAGCGCTTCAGACCGCTATTGATTCCGCTCTCTTAGAGACCCTTGGGATGCAGCTAGATGCTCGGTACCAGCGAACACAAAATCCCAATGATCTCAATGCATCAGTACGGTGTTGTCAGCTTGCGACTAAAACGACTTCTGATTTCGACTATGCAGCACGCCTAGATCGTCTAGTAAAATTGCTCAATGCTCGATTCTATTGCCCAGCCCAAACCCTACGTTGCAAAACGAGCGAGGATCAGCTTTCCCTACGCTTAGACGCCCTCGAAAGCAGTTCTCAAGCTCACGATCAGCCTATAAACCCGACGGGTGATGTCGATGAAGCAGTTCGGCTTGACTTTCTAGCGCTTCAGGCCGCTGTTAATCCCGCACTCTTACAGAACCTTGGGATGCAGCTGGATGCTCGATACCAGCAAACACAAAATCCCAATGAACTCGACACAGCAGTACAGTGTTGTCAGCTTGCGACTAAAACGACTTCTTATGCCGACTATGCAGCGCACTTAAATCGTCTAGTGGGAGTATTCGAATCTCGATTCCAATACCTAGACCAAAGCCGACGTCGCGAAACGAGCGATGATCAGCTTTCCCCACGCTTAGGCGCCCTAGAAAGCAGTTCCCATGCTCAGAATCAGCCCACAAACCCGACGGGTGATGTTGATGAAGCATTTCGGCTTGGCTTTCTAGCTCTTCGGGCCGCTGTTGACCCCGCGCTCCTCGAGAACCTTGGGATGCAACTGCATATACGATACCATCTAACAGAAGATATCGTTGATCTCAACTTAGCGATCGACTATTCTTGGCTTGCGACCAAGATGATTACTTACGACCATCCCAACTACAAAATGTGCCTAGATCTTCTGGCGGGACTACTCGATGCTCGATTCCAATCTACGGGATTTTTGCCTGACCTTGATCGAGCGATTCAACTTACTCGTACTGCACAAATTGGCAGGACAAATCAAAACGATTTGGTACGGTACTGGTTCGAACTCGGGGAAAGGCTTGGAAGACGGTTTGGCTCTAGAGGAACTATCGTCGATCTCAACGATGCTATTTGGTACCTTTCCCTAGCGGTTAAAGAGACCACTGAAGATTCTGCTTTCCTCGTCGATCTCTTAGTCGAGCTCGCTTTCAATTTCAATCTTCGATACGAGACATTGGCAAAGATAGAAGATCTCGAATCGGCGATTTCGCTACATCAACGGGCTCTTCAAGCTACCGATTATCAAGATGAATTACGGTTAGATTGCCTGCGCAACCTCGGAAGCGACCTGGAAGCCCGATATAGACATATCGGAGAGCCCTCTGATCTCCACAGAGCGATCGCCCTAGCTCACATTGCAATCAGTACAATGGAGGCCATCAGCCCTAACTATTATTTGCTTAGGGATTGCTTCTATGAGCTCGGGACTAAGCTCGGACTTCTATACGAAAAAACAAACACGATAGATGACCTCAATGAGGCCATTATATGGTCTCGCAAGGCGGTGGGTGCTATTGGGGCACGCATTGAGGTTTTTCGCCATATCGAACACTTGTTAACACTTCGTTACAAGAGAACACACCAAACCAAAGATTCTGAAGAAGCAGCCAAGTGGGCAGAAGAAGCAGTCAAGTGGGAAGAAGCAGTTTAGAAGGATGGGCCTTTGTTGCTAGCTAGTTTCATGATCCCTATATGGAGGCGTGTTTTCATAGATGAATATAAATACCACGTCGGACGTCAATTCAAGTAGTAAAGGTACATCTCTTTGGGCTCCGTTGGCGGGTGACTGCATGACGTCTGAAACGCTGCTTTATAGATTGAAGCATACCAGTAGATCTGCGATATCTCCTAATCTAACCCCGGGAGTAAGGTACGCATTGACAGGGAAGCCCCATACTCATGGAAACCCGCACTCTGTAGACGGCTATGTCCGAACTAGGCACCATTGATGAATACAAAAAAGGGGTAAGTTTATATATTTCGGTATCCTAGGATACCGAAATGAGATCATATGTCCCTTGGCACGCAAGCCAGGCCATACACGGGTAGTCAATATCGGCGTCCTAGCAGGGCATCATATTAAAACATATACTTTAGCGGCTAATAACCTATTATTGACCAACAAAGCACCAGGACCCTTAAGCATTTACGTAGGTAACGCTACGCCAAAATGGCTCAGCAGAAGAGGGAACTACAGAGTTTGCGAATGGGTTAGAAAGTTAGCATGCGATTTGCAGGGTTGGCCTTCCATTCGTTCAGGTTCGCGAGAGCCTCCTCAGTGACCGCTTCAGTACTAAAAGGTCGCCACGCCTTAAGCGCAATAGATTCTGTGGCGGGGGATTCCCCCCACTTTTGGACGTCTTGTAGTGAGAACTTCTCGGAAAACTTGCCCGTGATCAGCAAATGGACCACGGCCTCATCAAGGGCGGGATAAGATTTTGCGGCAGGAGGGTTCCTATGCAGGGCGTATGCAATCATAGCATCCAGCGGGAAGCGGGAATTGTTTCTACATACCTGTCAGTTGAGGGGGATGATACTATACTGAAAGAATTCTCACATTTTTTTGCCTGCTTCTTTGCTGCACCGAATAAGAAAGCTGGGGCCGAAGTAGTACACACACCACCACCACCAATACTCACCGATTTTCTTCTCATTGTGGAAAGATTTGTGAAGTTTTCTTTTCTCGACTGGTGTCAGGCCTCTCGAGTTGCAAAGCGTGCTGACAACATTTCTTTTTAGAGCAGTCTCTGCTGTGCCCCGTTGACGTTCACACTCAATTTCTCTGACAAAAAAAAGAAACAGAGAACATCGAGCAACACGTAGCTTTACATCATGCATGTCATTCTCATTATGCAGGCGCATTAAATAGGTCATAAGACTGGCACGATTGGGCTTTTTGAGCGGCATTCGAGGAGCTTGAGTCATTCCAGGAAGGGCCGCTCCAGAAACCAGAGACCTTCCAGGTACAGGAGTACTGTTCTAAAAAGGCAGCGAGGTTGTGTGAATGAAGGCGTTCGCCGGTGCGCTGGACTTCCGTTAGCTGTTGTAAAGTCAGTCGGGAATATACCGATTCCAGAATATCAGGTTCATTCGGTTCACAATCTTCAACTGCTACACCTGGTTGCTCCGGCTCCTCTGGTTACTCCGGCTCCTCTGGTTGCTCCGGCTCCTCTGGTTGCTCCGGCTCCTCCGGTTGCTCCGGCTCCTCCGGTTGCTCCGGCTCCTCCGGTTGCTCAGGCTCCTCTAATTGCTCAAGGGCAAGGCGGGGCCTGAGGTTCCTAGAGGATTGGTCTGATTGAGATTCAACAGCAAGGGAAAGCTTCCGCTTGGAGCTTGCCTGAAAACCCCCAATTGACAAGGGCAAGTGGGACGCATCTGAAAGCTTCTTAGGCCGCGCAGACAGGCCATTATTATTAAGCGGAGAGATAGATCTGGAAATGCGACCTTGGGGATTCGAGGTCAAGTCGACCGAATTCTCGTCTTCACTCAAAAACCTCATAGAATCACCAAAATCACCAATGGCCAAGTTAATATCCGATTCCCCAAAGCTTTCATTCGAAATTGAACAATCATCAGGGTCACTACCCCTTGCATTGCTAGGAGCATAGTCGGCTCGTTGCTGTGGTTCTAATGAGTATCGTTCAAATGAGTATCGTTCACTCGAGGTAATGTCGTCAGAGCCAATTGAATTGATAGCAGCAATTTCGTCCTCATCGGGAGCATCTTCAACTGTCGGCTGGGGTCTCGACAAGGATTGTCGGAAGCGTTCAGGTGTTGCGCCTCTCGATTCAATTTCCTCTGGTGTCACTTTTGTTGACCTCTCCAGTCGCCCAATCGTTGGACTCGTTAGGCTGACCGAACGAATATGCGTCTCGTTCTTCGTATATTGGGTACCCAAGGTTTTTGAAGATCCAGGCCGAGTCGAGGTATATTGGTGGTCATCGTCTAAATCGATGGCGGAGTCGTGAGAAGTTACATCCGAGTTGTTTGGTGAGTTTATGTTTGGGCCGTCCGGGAGATACTTGTCGAAATCGTTAGGAAAAGATTGATTACGGGTGTCGACGGATACATCTAGAAAACAAAGGTAAATTAAGTCAAATCCTCGAGACGTTGTGTTTCTGGGCTTCTTTACCGGACAAGTTTTGGTCGTTCGGTTGGACCACCCCGTCTGACGATACTGCAAGATGGCCTTGATTTGGGCTACCATCCAGGGCCGATGAAGAAAATTGTCCAGAGCTGTTGTGCTTCACCTCATAATCGATTAAACAGTCTGCATCAGCTTGAATCTGCTTGTAAAGGCTGATGACCGTTTCGATAGGCAACATCGACTGAAGTTTACAAGAGATGCGGACTGCGTCTAGAATCTATGACAGGGTTAATAAGCGTCAGGTCCTAAGTAGAGTCAGGCCTACCTCTTTCTCTGAATTTTCTCCAGGTAAGAAGTCGAAGCTCCCTTGTTCTCCATAGTGATTGGCCTGAAGGAAGAGTCAGATGGTGCGAGTTCCGATTGGGTGGCTAGCTCACATTGAGAGAAAACTTGATCTGAAGCATTTCAAGGGTAAAAGCTTCTGAAGAGGACCAAGGAATTCGATGGCAAGTGATAAACGGATTTCGAGAGCACTTAGAGATCGCTGATGCACTTTGGGGGAGGAGGGGAGCAACGCCAACTGCGAGGACAAAGTGGGTGCCACTCTTTCTCGGCTCACCCTCGGCTCACCCTCTGCTCACCTTCTGCTCACCCTCTGCTCACCTCCTCTGATCGCGGGATTCATTGTGTTCGTAAAGTCGAAACACATGGGATAGAAGGGTTTGCGTAACATTTTGCAAGTGGCTGAGGGCATGAAAGGAACTTCACGATGATCTGACGAATTCAACCTCCATAGTTGAAGTGAATGACCATATTCTTTGGTCTTGTTGTGAGTTGTTAAGGAAAGGAAAAACGATCTTTGTGAATTAATCACACGGGATTAGTCAAAGCTGTTATCATGTGACTAGTATTATGGACCAATGATAAATGTCAATTTATAGCATAATTGCGGGGCGATCAGAGCGCTCAGTGAGCGCTCAGTGAGCGCTCAGGAAGCAAGGCAGAAATTATTCCTCCCGGCAGAAAATGCAAACACACCCTGGGACCTGGTTGTTGGACCTCGTATGAGTCACACAGTGCTGTCTGGTAGGCTTAGCGGGTCTTATCACGTCATTTCCCAAAATGGTCACGTGTGTTGATAAATGCACCATTGAGGCTTACTTAATACGTCATGATTCAGGACCGCTTAATAAGCGACCTTCAACTGCCATCACAACCAGGAACCACCAGGTTTCTGCTCCCTACTCGTCATATGCAGGCAACTGTCGAGCGAGACAAGAGCTTTTGCTTGCTTTCCCCGCGCCACCTCTCGTCATATTAAAGTAAGGAAATGGATACCCTTCAAGAAATATTATTGTGGAAATCGGGTGGATTAGTTGATCCTAGACGTGTGTTAACCATTACATACGATGAACTCGATAAGCGTTAAGTAACTAGGAAGTCAACAGTTCTTAAGGGCAGTGTTAGTTCTCACAGTCCTTTCCCTTTATACGCATGTCGAACGTGAAGGGAGTTACTAGCTGAGTGTTTTACTTGTTCGAGGAAATCATATTGCTTAATTATACACACACACACAATTCATTAACGCCCGGCGGCTGAGCCGAGAGGGCAACTATCACTAAACTACCAGTACATGCATGTGCTTAATTATAGTGTGTGTGTGTGTGTGTGTGTGTGTGTGTGTAATTCATTTACGCTGACCCCTCGTCGAAACGATATGCAGCCTACCGCTACTATATATATCTTCCTATGTACATGTATCGTGTACCACTTCCTAAGCGAACTTGGAGCCTCGCCGAGGCCTGCCGTGGCCTCTATGCCGTCGTTGTGTTTATGCTGCCCTTATGGCGCGCGGCTTTGAAACCGTTGCGATGCTTCAGCAAAATCCAAGACAGCCTCCACTGTCTTGGTTCGTGATGCACTGTCAATCTTACCTCTTCCTTCTTCTCCTGGTCCACCCAACAGTGTCGATATGCTGTTGAAAGCATCGCCAACCTTAATTCGCAGCTCTCTCCTCAGTTCTCTCAATCGTGGGCAATCTAACAACACGTGGTGAACGCTTTCCCGTTCACCACAGACGCACATATCGTCGTCTCGAAATCGGAAAGTCTTTGCGTATGTTGACAACCAGCAGTGTCCGGTTCGCAACTGCGTGAATAAGTACGCTCGATTTCTAGGCAGGGAGCCGTAGAGCCGTCTGGTGTACTTGGCCGGTAGTGTGTCGTCGATCTGACGCAGATGTGCGCCGGTGCTCGAGCCGTTCCATTCGTTCTTCCATTGGGCGTGGATCCCTTGCCTAATGTGTGCTCTCTCGCGTGATAGCAAACAGCAAAACGGGTGAGTTTTGCCCGGCACAGCTGCCTCCTTGGCCAGTAAATCGGCAGCGTCGTTCCCTGGCACTTCGCAGTGTCCGGGTGTCCACTGTAGTCGTATCGACGTGCCGTGGGTCTTGGTGTTCCTGGCTGCTTGTAGAATGGCATGGATGATCTGTTGTCCCGACTTGTTCCCGGGATTCTGGATTGCTTGCAGGGCCGACTTGCTGTCACTAAGGATAGTGGCAGATCCCACCCGCGAGTGGGATGTTCTCCAGTGTCGGAGAGCGACCTTGTTGATGATGTTGATAGCGTACAGGACCCCAATCAGCTCGGCGGCATGTACCGACCACCGATCCATGGGTCCAACCTGCACTTGTATGCTGTCGATTGTTTCTAGTGAGTCATTCAGCGCGGCCACTGCGGCACCTAGATGGCCTTCTCTTCCCGAGGCATCCGAGTACACCACGATGTCCGCGGTTGACCGTGCCGCCTCGGCCCTTTCTATCGCGATCTCCCTGTCTGATTCAATCTCGATTTCCGAGAAGGCTTCTTTTCGCCAAGGTGGTAGTGGGGTTGGATCAATCATTTCGATTTCCTGTAGTCTCTCCAAGTTCATGGTTTTCAAGGCTTCTGATAGCGGGAACCGGGCGAACGATCCACGATTGTTACGTCTTCTCTGGGCTCGATTCAGGGCGTTCCATATGGGATGTTTTTGGGGTAGGGTATGCAGTCTAGTGATGGTATTCTGTGCACGGTAGCGCAGACGAAGGTGCGTTGGTAGTACATGTGCCTCTACGTCAAGTGTGGTTGTTGCCACCGTTCGAAATGCAGATAGGACGCGGATGAGCGCCGCTCGTTGTACGGTGCGGAGGTGTCGTAGATGGGTCTTGTCTCGAAGCGGATCATGCCAGACGGTCGATGCGTAGTCGACAACTGGTGTGACGCACGCTTCGTAAAGCTGTCGCATTTGCTCTGGACGGAGTTGTCGCAAGCCCCCAAGCGCGATGTTGACCTTGGTGGCTCGTTTGACGGCTTGTTGTACGTGTTCCTTCCACCGTAGCTCATGGTCGAAGATTACACCTAGGAGTTTGGCGGTCGTAGATGGTTTGATGGTATTGCCATTCATAACAAGCTGGCCCTGGCTCTGTTCTTTCCTCTTGCGAGTAATGTGAATGAGTTCGGTCTTCTCTGCGGCGAAGCAGGACCCAGTTCGCCGGGCCCAGGCTTCGATCCGGGGTATGTCTTCGGACTGGATTTTGGCCAGGTTCTCTTCAGCGCTCCAGCCAACTCGCCAGCGGAAGTAGTCATCGATGAAGGCAGATGCCCCACCGTGAAAATCGACCGGCTGGTCGACCAGGTCGCAGTTGAAGAACGCAAAGAGGATAGGTGAGAGTGGAGAGCCTTGCGCGAGCCCGGCCTTGTCTAGCGACGCCACCTCGGTCTGGTAGTCGTCGAACCCAATGCTCGCCTGGCGCCCACTCATGAAGCTCGCAATCCACTTCCGGGCCACCGATGGGATACCCTTGGACTGGAGGCGGACGTCCAGGCTTGTCTTGTTCACCCCATTGAAGGCTCCCTTTAGGTCAAAGGCCACCAGTGAGACGACCTTCTGTCTGTACCACGCCCGGTCGATTGCGTTAGCAAGCATTAGGAGGGCTTGCTCGGTTGTTCGTCCCGGACGTCCTCCGAACTGAGTATCCGGTAGAAGACCGTAGTGCTCCGCGAAGAAGGACAGCCGCCGGGCCATCACCGCTTCCAATAACTTGCCGAGTGTGTTGAGTAGCGAGATCGGGCGGTAAGCTCCAGGTAGCGAGTAGTCTGCTTTCCCGGGCTTCCGCAGGACTATGATTCGCGCGCTTCTCCATCGCCGTGGGTGGTATCCTAGTTCAATCGATGACGTGAAAATCCTTGTGATGATATTTCCGAGATATTTCCAGAGACGTTTCCAGATCAACGTGGGTAGACCGTCCTCGCCTGGTGCTGTTGTGCCTTTGGCAGCCCTGAGAGATCGATAGATTTCAATCTCGGAGATTGGATGCCACCGGATCTCGGTTGGGGCGTGGGCGGGTGCTTCCTCTTGCGCAGACGCCATAGATGGGAAAAACGAGTCCATGAACGCCTGAGCTTTCTCCACGTTGTCAACTAGCTCCACATCGCCAACCTTGAGGGCGGGAATACAGCCCCAGGAGTCTCGTGGTTTCATGTAAGTCGCTGCCTTCCATAATTTCCCTTCTCCTGCTTCGTCTAGGAACTGTTTCCAATGGGATGTCTTAGCCTTCTCAATGGTCCGAGTCCATGCCCGCCGTGCCTGGCGCATGTCTTCGAACATGGCCATGGTGCGGGTGTCGGCTCGTCCGATCTCAGCGCAGCTCTCTTGCCACTTGCGTCGTAGGCGGTTCACATCTTTCTGTTGGGCTTTAAGGTCGGCAGTGAACCACCGTTTGGAGTACGGGGAAGGTCTCATATCGGGTGTGTGCTTGTCGACTGCATTCGCTGTCGTGCTTGTAAGTCTCTCTACGACTGTGTCCAGCGCCTCGGCTGAGTCTAGCTCCCCGGGTTGCTCGAAAAGTTCCTGGATCTCCTTTCCAATCTTCTCCCAGTCCGCTCGGTCGTACGCCTTTCTCGTCTTGCTGGTGGGGTTGCGTCGCGCTTGGAGGTACCATTCTGAATAAGTGCCTCGGTGATCTGAACCATAGTTGTCGTGGTAGAGGTGGCATTTGAAGAGTAGGTCCGGTCTGTTTGTCACTGTCTGGTCGATCGTGGAACTTCTCCCCGGGTGGCTTAACGACCAGAAGGTCGCGGTTCCCCGAGGGAGGCAGCTCTGAAGGCCATAATCATGAAAGAAATTGATCAGTTCCCCAGCGTCCTCGATAAATCGAGGTTGAATGTGGTTGCTCCCCCACGCTGGGTGGTGGCGATTGAAATCTCCGGCCAAAATAAGGCTAAAGGTTCTGCTGTCGTCTCGTGTGACGTTTTGAATAGTGTCGTGGATTGCCGATAAGGTCGCCTCCGCCGATGCTCCATCAGGCGTGTGCATCGGTACGGGCGGAATGTAGACTGAGAAGATCAGGATTTGGGAGTCGGCCGTCCAGACTTTGATCGCCGTCAGATCCGGGTGATTGCATCTCACTTGTCGGTGAGAGGAGGTTGAGAGTTTGCGATTGACGTAGATAAGGCTTCGGTATCGAACCGAATCGCTTTCTACTGTGGGTTGATAGAGTCGCCACGCGCTGTGGTTCACGTGTGTTCGGTAGGCAGTGATCGACGGTTCTTGGATAAGGAGCACGTCTAGTTTCTGGCTCTGATGGTCGTTGATGAGAGCTTCCATGCCCGCCCTCGATTTCATGGTGTTTAGTTGTAGAATTCTGAGGTTGTTGTCTAACATTGCGATGGGGGTGCCGTGGCTGGCGTCGGGCATAGCAAGTCTCCAGTCGGATGTTCCCCGCTGCATTCCAAGCAGCGCGCTCTGATGCCCGGGGGACATCTTTCTCGCTCATGTTGGCCGCCACAGTGGCCACATTGGGGTGTCTCTTTACACGACCACGCTAGATGGCCGAATCCTTGGCATCGGAAGCATCGTTTCTTTTTGATCTCACACTTTTCCACTCTTCCAATGTACCGTTGATCAATCAACAGGCCATTGTCCAGCATCCATTCTGCTGCCTCTAGTGAGTCGAACCAGATGCCTATTGAGGCGAACGTTCCCAGTTCTTTGTCTCTTTTCTTCAGCCAGGCTATGTCTTCGATTCGAAATCCGCGGTCGGTGAGATCGTTCTCATTTGCGATCTTTTCAATGGCTTCGGTTTTCCTGTTTTCGAGGTCCAACCCAAAGGTCGGGATATGGTGAACGGCGACTCCGAAACGTGGCTTCACCAGTCTAGTGTCGTTGCCCAGCTCGGTCAGCCACTCGGTGTTGGTGCGGGCCGTTTCGGCCGATGCTTGGTTTTTGAATCGGATCACATATCCGGTTTTGGTAGTACCAATCCCCGCAACCTGTGCGTCCTGGGTGGATAGCGTCTTCGACAGTGCCGTCCTGATGTGGGCGTTCGCAGCCGGGGTGGGGAGGTAGCGGCCGAACGCGTCTCCGTTATTATCTGCGCCCAACGCTTCAGTGACAGATCGCTGGGTGCTGATTCGGATGCAGTTCTTGTCTTTGTCAGTTTGTCGCCGGGTCTCCCGGGGTTGCGGATTGTCCGTGCTGGCCGCAACGGCCGCCCATGATCGTGTCGGGGTTGGAGCGTTCCTCTCCTTTACCTGCGACCGTAGCGCTGCAATCTCTTCCTGTAGCTTCTCATTCTGAGTTTGGAGCTCGTTCTGGTTATCTTTCACTTCTCTCAGTTCGGTCCCGGTGGCGCGAATGAGCGTGGTTTGCTCCTCGATGGTGTGTTGCAGGTGTACGATAATCTGCCAAATCTCTCTGGTTGTCACTCGTCCAGTGCTGGTTCCGGTATTGGTCAGTTCCACGGGTTCCGGGGCCGCGTGGGTCTGCTCGCTTTCCACTCGTGCATGTCTCCTGGTCCGGACCGTGGTCGTTGGTGCAAGGTTTTCTGTTACGACGATCCCTGTGCCTCTTCGCGTGGTTGTGGTGGCAAGGGGCTCGGGAGCCCCCGTGGGTGGGTCCGCCATTCGTCTGGCGTTAGCTCCCGCTCGGCACACAACACAATAATTTATATCGCAATAGTATCAACCACAACGTCCGCGCAATAGTCAAGGTCTCTCCCAGCTGTCGGTTCCATACCTTTTCTACATATTACAGTAGAATTCGAAATCAGCTTTAACGCCAAACTCTTTTACTCTCTGTTCCCCTGCCCCACCTAGATCGCGCTATACCTAATTTGATTAGAAGTGGACCTATCCGATTATTTCCAATGTACCTTTAGGCAGCCGTCAGAAATACCGTTATTGAAATGTCCGGCCACCGCTTACCAGATCCTCCCCGACCCTGGCCCAGCTTCCCCTCTGACTCTGATGTCATCGCCACAGGTTTTAATACTAATGACGAGTTCACTTTAACCAAACACGAATTCGACATCCTCTAAACGAGATATATACACTGTTACATCCATAAAGCCACACCGCTATAAATTTCAAAATTAATTTCTCCTTGAATTAACATGGTGTGGCAGAGAAACAGTTACTATCCCCATTTTTGTAGTTTAATAATTTTTTTGGGGGGGGTTTTGAATTAAGCTACATAGTTGTAGAAATAATCGATTGTCGAGCGAGCACAAGCCACACTGTTCCTAAGACGGCCGATCTCATCTTCAGCATGAATGGGATCAGCTTCCCTCCTAACATTAGAGACTTCTGCGTCCTCTTTTATCGTCGTATTAGCTCTTCGGATGTTTTGACAGCTTTCCTGAACTCTGTAGAGGCCTAATTCCAGTGCTGCGTTTTGAAGACATTCCGCGGATGATATCAACTGACGAATGTCTCTATTTAGTCTGATAATAAAAATCGTCAGAACAGTGATTAACCTTGACAAGAAACTCCGGGTATGTATTTGCAATTGACTAGCCCAAGATATATTGTACCATATGAATCAGGGTTAAGGCTTACAGAGCATGTTCCATATCGTCAATAGTATTGTTTGCCCGTTCGATAAACGTATAAAATGCGATCGAGCTGGTCAGCCGATCTTCTTCGTGGTCCATCTCTAGTAGTTGGGAGAAAATGGCCATATCAAGGTTCTGCTCGAGCTGCTCGGTTTCCATGATTTATCGCGAATATACTCGGTGACGGCTGAAATAGAACAATGTCCTTTTTATGGATCTCAGCGATACCTGATAGTATTTCAATCACAGAATAAACCACCGAAGATAATTTATCGTACAAAGGAGTGGAAAGAGGGTAGTGTTGTATGAGTATGAGTCTGTGGCGATGGCATCAGAGGTAGAGGGGAAGCTGGGCCAGGGTCGGGGAGGATCTGGTAAGCGGTGGCCGGACATTTCAATAACGGTATTTCTGACGGCTGCCTAAAGGTACATTGGAAATAATCGGATAGGTCCACTTCTAATCAAATTAGGTATAGCGCGATCTAGGTGGGGCAGGGGGATAGAGAGTAAAAGAGTTTGGCGTTAAAGCTGATTTCGAATTCTACTGTAGCTTCGGACATTGGTAGTTGCAGTTAGATATTGGCGTATACAACAACGGAATATACATTGGTTACTACAGTATATAACACATTCTTCTTATGTGTATGGTTAATTGTCTCGCGCATTCTACGCAATGGTCTTTTTCTCGAAATGGAAAAGCGCTGTTCTCGACAGAGACCGTTTAGTCTAATGTATTGTCACACTATCTGACTTGCAACATATGCACACATTTTTCACAGTGAGAATCACTTAGGCCCTTTCTATTGTTATGCCTGCATGTCGAAAATGACCCTCTGCGCTCTGTTGTTTCGCACCAACATCATGAACACACCGCCGAAGGAAGATATGAAAACCTTGCTCGGGATTCGCTTCGTACGCCGACCAGGACTTTTTTATATAAGCCTTCAGCTCGGCAAAGAATTCCTCGATGGGGTTGAAATCTGGTGAGTAAGGCGGCAAGTACAACAATTTGACACCTGCATCAGAACACAACTGCTTGATTCGGTCCGAGTGGTGGAAAGAGGCATTATCCATTACAAGCACCGATTTCGGTTCCGGCCACTTTCCACAGTGCTGGAGAAGTTGCTTTATAAACGATTCGAAGAACACTGCATCAGTTGACCCCTTAAAAATACGAGACAGGATGACACCATCCTGTGTGTAGGCTGGCAGGATCTGATAGCGTTGACCGCGGTGAAACTTAGATACTTGGACTGGTGTCACGCCCAGTGGTGACCATCCAGTTCGCCGGTACCCCACCCGTTTATCACATCCCGATTCATCAACGAAGACCAGGTGGTAAGAACGATATTCGGACAGTTTGTGCTGGTAGAAATCTCTTAGTTGAGTGTTCTGTTCTCTCGCTTTCTGTTGAATTTTCTTCCTCGTCCAGCCAGCTCGCGTAAGAGCACGTTTGACGCTCGATGGGGATGGCAAAATGTTGAACTCATCCCATAAAAAAATGGCCATCTCATCAATATATAAACCGGGCTTTTCGGCGAGGTGATCACAAAGGGCATCTAGCATCACAGAAGTGATGCTTGATGGCTGACCGGCAGGGACTGATGGGGATCGAGGGCTGCCGAAGAGCCGCAAGTTCCTGCGTATGTTAGTGACAGATCGCTCACTACACTTGGCCACCTTGGCCATTTGTGAAATGGTCAGCTTCTTCCTGCTGCGTGTCATATGAACAATGGATTGACGTTGCCAATTTTTGAGATTACGTGCCATATTGAAGCGGGCTGGGGCGTTGTTGGTGCTGGAATGGAGACAGTCGTTTTGGGGGAAACATCGTGGGGGCTGTGAGTATTCTTGGGGCTGTAATAATACCTACACGACTTCCTCAATTTCGTATTCTATCATTTGGCATTATATGTACCATTCAACATTGGAACGACAACCTCAAATACAGCTATAACCACATCTAGATTAGGGTATCATGTGATCAATATTCCAAAGACCATTACTGGGTTCTCAATAGGAGGAAGGTCACATAACTTGTATATAGGATGCGCTAATCTAGATATAGATAGTGTGTAAATTATCTGGTTTATACCGAACCAGGAATAAATCGTACGAATTTTATGATACTCGTATGGTAGTTACAGGGGTCTAGAAGCCTATGTGACTGGAATATTCGATGCAAAATGAGCAAACATGGCATTCCTCAAACAGGCAATCTGTCAATAATTTCTTCTCCACTGTACAAGAATGATTGGTCGTGATAGTACTTCGCCTCAGTCTCGCTGGGGGCCGACCCCGCCCCTCCTCTCAACAACCACGGCATCCATCCATTCGTGAGACTGGGGTTCGATATCATTTTTGTCTCGCAGTTCTCATGAACTAACAATAGCGTACTCAGTCTCTAAAAGCCAACCATTTGATATTCCATTAAGGATGGAGATGGATGTGAGTTGCTGTTACTTGGTATCCACGATATGAAGCTGATCCGAGGCAGATTTATCCTGGAAGGTCTCCTGACAGTAGTGTGCGCGGTCCTGGCCTTCTTCGTGATCTGGGATGAGCCATCGACCGCGACGTTTCTGTCGGACAGGGAAAAGGCCATCATCATCGACCTGTTGGCGGACTCGCGAGCGAGCTCTAGCGAAGGCCAGCTGGAAGAGAAGAGTGCTTTCGACTGGAAACAATTCTTGGCAGCAGTTCTAGACTGGCAAGTGAGTTATCAACCCTTTTAATACAACAGCGGCACTCACAATATCTCTAGACATGGATGCACGCCATCAGCTACTGGGGAGCGGTAAGACATCTGCACAAACCACTTGAACATTCTTAACGGTCTTCCAGGCGGTAGCTGTGTATGCACTCTCGCTGTTCCTCCCGACAATTATAAAAGGCCTGGGATATAGTTCCGCCATCGCGCAGCTGCTGACCATCCCCGTCTACGCCGCTGCCTCCATAGCGTGCATTGCTGTGGGCTACTTCTCAGACCGGATGGGCCAGAGGAGTCTCTTCACGCTTGTCTGCTATGGCGCTGTATTTGTTGGCTTCCTCATCGCCGTTGCCCCCAGTCGATTCATTCCAGGCTTGACGTACGCAGGATGCTTTATCGCTGCCAGTGGCAGCTACCCAGGTACCTCTACTACTTCGGCAGTAGTCACGGATGATATATTAATAAAGTCTAGCTATACCGGGCCTCCTAGCCCTGTCGTCCAACAATTACGCACCGGCTACGAAACGCGCTGTCGGAATGGCGATTCAGATTGGGCTTGGGAGTTTAGGAGGCGCGGCGGCGTCCAATTTCTACAAGAAAACAGACGCCCCCAGGTATCGCCTGGGACACTCCCTGGTGCTGGCCTTTGTGGCATTGGGCTTCCTGACCGTGGTCCTCTACTATTTCCTGTGTCGGAGGATCAATGCTAAACGCGACCGTGGAGAAGCAACGGCCAGCCAGAACCCGGATGGGATATTCGAAATGGGCGACAAGGCACCGACTTTCCGCTATAATCTGTAAGGTAGTCTGTTATCATTCAGGTAGAGTGGTAGATACGCCATCTCATATCCTAGGGAGGGGGTACAAGCTATCATCCCCCGTCTTGATACCCCAATAGCCAATTGTGCCAGAGGATATTGTCATTGGACATCGTGTAGGGCAATTCCCACGGGGCCGGGCGCGGTATGTCGGCAATAATGCTGTCAACGTCGAGGGCCATCGAAGTGTCCCCAACTGTATCTAGTGCCTCTGAATTTGGAATGTTGAAGTCCTCCCCTGCGGCCTCTGGACTGTGGCCATTCTTGTCCTGCCCACGTTGTTGCTCAAACATGTCAAAGAACAACTGGCGGATCCAGCCTGCCAGCACATGGCACTCCTCAAAATCCTTCAAAGCGAGCATTTTGTACTTGATGGACCCCAGTAGCGCATTCCTTTTGGTCGTAGATTGGTTTGTGGCATTTGCGTGCGTGAATTGCGCAGTCATTGCTGCAAATATGGCCGATACACTGGATATTCGATCAGCTCTAGTCACTTTCTCTATGCTTGGCAGCGTATCACGCTGGACTATACCAGATCATGGGGAAGTGGCTTCCTTTATGATGAGTGACAGCGTCTTCAGCCATAGAGGTAATCCGTTCGGCTGCATCCATTATTATATCGTTGCTGGCCGTGGTCGTATTTGGTTGCCGGTCTTGGAATGTGCGCTGGAAGGTCTGATGAACAATTATGCGATAGTAACTGACCACATTTAGTGCTTTTCTATTAAGAAACCTTCCACTTACTTAGAAGTTAGATTGAGAATAAGCTGAAGCTGGGCATTGCCAGTCGAACGACATTGCAGACCAGGCGAGAGGCTCTCTTCCCAAGTTGAAAACACCCTACATATAGAGTCAAGTACGATTGTCCCGTCTGAGATAGAACAGTCCCTTGAGGGTGCGAAATATGTTCTCAGTGCGTTCGAGACTAATCCGTCAGTGATGTTCCTCTGAAGCAGGGTTGGGTCTCTAACCTGCGATTGATAGTCTGGCCTGTGCCAGTACATATGCAATTGTTTCTGGGGATTCATCCACAAGATCACCCTCGCTGATGAGTTCAACATCGCAGTCGCAGTCGTGGATGATCATGGGCTTTCCCAGCGAGATCGATATCTGTCTATCACGAATCTGGTCGAAATGGCTTAGCAGGGCAATAAAAGATCCAGGTAAAGGTACGTACGTATAGTAACCACCAGATGCGTCGCCACATACGCTCTTGTTCTGGCTGGAAATTCCTTTGCTGGGCCTTGCGATGCATCTGCATGCATTGTGCAGAACGAATCGTGCCAGCCAGCCACCATAGCGAGTCTCTACTCTGGCTGGCAGATCCGGACCAGTAGTGGAGGAGATAAGAGCATAGAAGCATGACCAGACGATCCCCTTCCGGTTCGCAGTCAAAAGCGGCCTTTGCGGAGCTGAAAAGATCGTCTTCTGCCTCTATACGTCCGGAATAACCCAGGAGGTGTATCGTCTTCAAATCGCAGTGGATCGAGGAAATAAAAAGCACACAGCGCAGCAAGACCTTGGACACTGACCCATCGCTCACGGAACCGAGGAATGTTTCCCGGTCTAGGATGGGACAGAATGGGTGGAATATAACGAAGTAGCCACGCAGCAGGTCATTGACTAGCTGCGCAGGGGGCAGAAGGTGCTGCGATATGCTTGTCGACCTGTGATCGCGGCGTGGATGGTGAGCCACCGCAGTGTTTCCTTGTTCATCCTGTATAGGCCGATATAAGCAGCCTTGGTCGCTGTTTGTCGTTTGGATCACATATGACAGATACCAGCTCTCGCCCCAGATGGGAGGAGCGGACGCCTGACGATGGCGCGTGCTTGCATACAAACGATCCTGGCCGCTCAATGATCCATCACCAGACAAATAACATCTTCGGCGGTGGCTATTGCACAGGGCTACGACGTCAATCGAGAATGGGGGAACTCGATCCGATATGCGCGTCGTTTGGTTGGGTTGGGCTATGGACTCAGTGGTGGCCAGGTCGCTGGTTGCGAATCGCCCATTGCTTCCTCTGCAGGCTATATTAGTCGTTATCTGCTTCTACAGTGGTGAATGCATACCGTGTTCTTTTCGTCTTTGCAATTTGACAATCCGAGTTGCCCACTCGCCGGCAGGGCGAACAGGGGAGTCCTTTCGTCTCCGCATCACATCGGATATGCTGGTCCTTGCACCGTTTACACGCCGAGGACGGTCTTTTTCGTTTCTGGGCAGAGCTCTGGCTTGTCGACATTGCGCCTGTGAGGATGAAGACATTTGAGAGCCTCTGCGATGACTGGCACTCGGTCAGCCCATCTCGCCCCCACAGCACTGGCTCAGCACTGGCTCCATCGCTCCAACACCGGGCGAGCTCTCCACTCTCTGATTCAGAAGACTAGTGTAGTGGATTGTCCAATTAAATTCTGTTTCTTGAGCATCAGAGGGCCCGTGGATTTTGGCGTTTAAATGTCGGACTTGTCTCCGATCGCCGCTGGTCGAGACCACCGGCGGTGGTGAGCAGCACATCTGCTAGAAGATAGCCGTGAACGAACAGTATGAGGCTATGATGGTTATAATTCGTGGCATTCTCCCTTTCCTTCGACATCGCCGAGTATCCGTCGGCCTGTTATTCATATGTGAAGATAAATATTTCGACCATCGCAAACACCGTCCGTTGCAGAAATGTGTCCACGGACACTATTCAACCGTAAAATTGTTGCTCGCTATTATTTACCCTTCTATATTGCTCAAAATTAATGGCGCTACCATAGATTAACTAAACAAGCACAGGAACACTCGCCCCCCAAAGCCCAGGCTTTTCGTACTCCGTGCGCTGATAACCGAAGGGACTGCATAATACCGACGGAACAAATACCGAGGCTTGTTTGGCAAGACTGGAAGTTATAGGCTAAATAAACAGTCATTGAGTCTGATACGATTCCTGCGGTTATCTTCAAAGCGTGGAGGATGAACTGCGCCTTGCGATAAACGGACCCCAACGAGCCATGAACATCACATCACAGTGAGCCCAGTGAGCTTTCTATCTTGGTCTCACTGCCAGATGTCACATTTTACTAGCAGTCTACCTTGTAGGATTTAGGTAAGGGCCGTGCCTGTCAAACGGTGCTTCCTATCCACCCATGTATTTTGGGCTGTTGGGAAATCCCGCCAGGACCCGGCGCATGGCCTGATGAAAGTCCAAGGAATCCCGGACCGAAGACCATGAAGTCAGAAAGTATTTGCCTGTTAAAGACCGGTGGGTTTAGCTGGTATAAAGCAATGGGGCAATTGGGCTTCACGCGGGGGCAGTGCATCGGCTCATGCACGGCCCAGAGTATGCGCCAGTACAAGACCAGCTTTCCGACCGAGGCGTTCATGAGAAAGCTATCGAGAGGATATTGGATATTGATCATGGCTTCTCCAAGTGATCGTGTGCCGACGGCCAGGTCTCGGAATGGTTGCATTACCTGCAAGTGAGTTCCTGGTGTGTCCTCCCGTTAGGGCTTGCTATTAACCATAAGGCACTGCAGGACCCGCCGCGTCAAATGCGACGAGACGAGACCTACTTGCCGCAGGTGCGAGAATGCAGGAAGAAGGTGTGATGGCTATGGAGATGGTTTGGATTCAGGGTCTCCTGAGGGTGCCTCGTCAAATAGCCTCCGGGTAGTACAGCACGTCCCCGGTATCTCGAAGCCAACTCGCATGTGGAAGACCCCCCAGTCGCCGGACCTCATCAGCGAGGATGAGTATCGCTCTCTGGAATTCTTCCACCAGAATACAACCCAGGCGTTCACCGCAGATATCGGCGTTCTGCTACTTCGCGTGGCGTACCACCAGCCCATTTTGAGGAGCATCGCCGTCGCCTTGGGCTCTCTCCATCGGTCCTTTGTCCTCCATGGGAGAGGCCCTCTGGCAAACAGCACCGACGCGCAATTTATGCTGCTTCACTACAATAGAGCCATACGAGAGTTGGTGTCAATACAGCCTGAGACAGCGCAGCGAGACGAAACGTTCCTGATTGCCTGTATCTTCTTCTTCTGCTTCGAGTGCCTTCGAGGCGAGTACAAGAACGCCGTGTGACCAGCGGGTTTACCCAGTCTTTGACTGTCCCCAGCTCATTGGCCAAATCCTTGTTGTTCATCTTGGTAGCAACGAGTTTCGATTCTTTGAAAACTTTTTGACGAGACCGATTAACACCAGAAGGGTTCATTCAGTATAGGTAGACTTACCTTTATTCCACATCGGTGACATAGAGAGGGAAAAGCCCAGGCTAATGATATCCAAGATTATATTGTCAACACTAAGACCCTCCTCTTTCAAAGGGGCAAAGGTCCCAAGCATATCCGAAAGCTGCTCGGAAACAGCATTACTGCCCGCGGTGATAGCGCTATTAATTCCCAAGTATTGCTGAGTACGTTTATTAGCACTATTGTTTCATGAAAGTAAGAATGACTTACACGCTCAAGCCAGATCATGGAGAGTACAATCATGTACCCAGCAGGGTGGTTAAACTCATCACACTTGACTTGGAGGTTGGAGCAGCCATCATTATCGGCTAGGTTCTCGCAAAACAGGGTTTCCGTATATTCGAAAAACGAGCCGAGTGACTGGGAGAATTGCGTTCCGCCGTCATTACCCTTGGTGTTCCAATTGTCTACCGCAGCATTCCATGCATCTTCGACTTTGAGCTGCTCCCACCGCTCCAAGGGGTCCATGTCACTGTCAGTTGCAGCAGGAAGAGAGCAGTTCATACCGTCCCAGTCGGGGGCAACAAGGCCATAGAGCCATTGGTACACAATAGGTGGAGGGGTCGATGGAAAGGACGGTGTAGTGCTAGTTGGAGCGGTGACCGGAGTGCTGGCTGAAGAACTGGCTATACATGTACTATGTCCCGGCAGCGTAGCTTCTGCGAGGACAGCCAGGCCGCCGTACAAAATAAAGCATAGAATGCGGCGACTGAGTTCCATAGTGTAATCCCCGTCTGGGCAGTGATAACTATGAAAGGCTTGGAACTTGACATCTCATGGCATCAAGCTGCCCTTTATATATGCATCTTGCTTGACAATATAATTATACAGAATATACGATGTTTGCCCTTGGCCACTTGCACGGGCGGGACTACATACCTACGGGGCCACTAACGCAGGAACCACCGTAAGCCAATGTAAGCCAACACGGTCAACGATCCAGTACGACGAAAAGCTTCACACACGTGCTCTCTTTTGCTGAGAAAGCAATACCCAGCACATTGGCTTTGTGCTAACGATCTCGGAGTTCCGGAAATTGCAGACATGATTAGGCCCCCACGTGCGGCCATGAAATTTATACTATCATGATGCTATGTCCCGTGGTCAACAGCCGCTTAAGCTACTTGGTATGTGAATCACTCTTTAGTCGAGAGCTTAGCGTGGCTTAGCAGTTAGGTATCCAATTATATTGCCGGGGTAAGCATGTGCACGCCTTCAGAATAGGCACCAGGTAGGTATGCTGTTTTGCCCGCCCTACCATACCTTTCTGAACAGGCCCCGCCTGGTCGAAAGACGAAGGGCAATAGCTTCCTGCTTTACAGGAGTAAAGCAACGGCATCCCGTGCCTGCAGGGCCTTGTCAGGAGATACGAAAGGCATCATCGCGGAAAGCCCTAAGCCAGCTACGAGCATGTTGCCACGGCCAAGGCTGACTATAATATGAGACCTAGCCCTAGACTTGGCCAGGTATCATACCAGTGTCCACCAGGTATATACTAATTGTAAAGCCTAGATTAATTATTAACTTGTTATTTAAAGCTAGTTCTTTGATCCCTACTAGCCGCCGCCAGTCGTTCGACGTACAGCTCCAGCTCTGCTGCGCACCTGTTTCTGCCCTTCGCTCCAATCAATAGCTTCAATCGCACAATCCACAGCAGCCGGTACGTAATACTAGACTCTCGATGGTTTGAATATTCAAATGGTAGACTTGCTTGGAAAGCCACTCAACTCTTGTTTATATCTTCTACGCACCTTCCAACCTTCACCTTGCTCTCAACCTTCTTCACAGAGAAGCCGATCTGTGATGTATCTTTCAAGACCGCAAATCAAAGCCCTTGGGTATGAGACCTTTGCAAGGGTGGCCGGGCTACTTAACTTTTATGGATGGCTGGCTGTTTCCAGGTATGATAATGGGTTCCTGCGTAATAGATCCTGCCAACAACCAAGATATCTGCTGTTCTTTTTCTCCCTCAATTTTTGTCGTGTTTACTGCTTGCCCACTTTGCACGTTGTGGGCCTAAATATAACATAGCCGGCCCCCTCCACTGCGGCGTGTTGCCTCTCACCTACCACATATGTCAATCCGCCATCGTACCGCTAGACCTTATTTATATAAGCCCTTTATAATCAGCTAAGCTTAAGTTAGAATGTAGAGACCTAACCACCAACTGAACAACAACCTAGAGGACTACATAGCTATCCAAGTCCTCATGTAGATTCCCAATTGGGAGCATCTAACCTGTAGGATAGGATCAATATACTGGTCAATATATCTAATCTACCAGGTCGATAGTTTATACAGTGCTGGATGCCGATTAGTCATTCGGAGGGTGAGAGGCCCTATCGTGGTCACATGATTCACGCCACTGCGACTTTTCCACCCGAGTCTTCGCCGCCTACACTATTAATTCGCTCAATTGCTGTCAATAGAAGCTCATTGTCGAAGCTGATCAAGAATTCAGTCACGGGGAATCCCCTTAATACCAGCGTCCTGGCTCGAAATGAAGAGATTCAGGGCGGCTCGAGCGGTCCGTGTCCCCATTCCTCGGGAGACACCAAGACTAATACAACCCAACCCAACAGTGCGACTCATGCCGCCACCGCAAGACAAGGCTAGTCATGTCACATGTTATTTTGTAGTACACGGCGATTGACAAGATTGACAGATGTGACGCTCGGGATCCCTGTGGGCCCTGCGTGAGCTTGAACCAAATGTGTTCATATGGAACAGAAGCTACATCGTAAGTGACTTGTTGCCATGCTGATGATCGGCAATTGACATGAGATCAGAAGGGGGAAAAGCGAAATGATCTTGGATACGGTCTTGCGGATGGAAGCTTCCATTGATGAACTTAAGGGCATGGTCGTATGTAACGAATGGCGCAACGCTATTTCTCACTCGCTGATTACATATTTCAGGCTATGGGCTCCGGTTCAAGTGTGACGAGTGACATTCAGGCAGATACAACGTCTTCCTGTCCGACAATTACCCGGGTTTCTCAGGATGCACGCCATCATCCAGGGGGCCGCACAACTATGGACCCCACTGAAAGCGCGGTGCTTTCATCAGGACATCTCTCCTCAGCAGAGTCTCTTTTGAAGTGGAACATGTTTAGTGATCACCCTTCAATATTGGAGGAGGCACAGTCCTCATTTTTGTCGCTCGAGTACGGACGACCGTCATTTCCAAGCAAACTCTATGGCATAGTCCCCAGCGCGGGCTTGTCAGATGTCAAAAATATGGTAGGTGTATTCCAACGGACGTATAACTTTTGGTTCCCTACCATCAGCTTGGACGAGCTGGAATCCCTGCAATTGAGGATATGGCAAGAGAATTTGGAGCCTAGCTGCCAATCGTGTCTCGCATTGTTGGTCATGGCTTTGGGCTGCGTCGGCGCGTCCGTGATAGACGAAGAGGACAGTTCTGAAAGCAAGTCTCAACAGCTGAAGCTCCAAGGAGAATCATGGTTCACTGCTGCAATGAAGATGCTCCACTTAGCCCAAATTGAAATGAATATGGAAGCGTGCCAATGCCTCTTGCTGACTGGGTATGATGACATTGTTACCGGCCGAAACAGCGTGTCCAGATGAAACTGACGAATGCGTAGTCTCTACTTCTCCTTCTTGCAAAGGCCACTGCAAACGTGGTCTTATGTGAACAGCGCGGCCACCCGTTCTCGTTTCCTGCTCTCTTGCCCTCTTGACAACCCCGAGCGTGATGACCGAGAACATATCACTAGAATATTCTGGTCGTGCTTTGTATTAGAAAGGTAAGCAATGGCAATGACACCTTACCCTTATCACTGCCTGACTCGCACTAGCAACTATATCTCTGAATTGCCCTCCCTTCCGCAAAACAGCAATACTGAAATCGAATCAGTATTTGCTCTTCCGGGAAAATTCCACTCACATGAAGCTATTGAAGAGGAAGAAAAGTCCAACTTCTACTTTCTAGCATCCATTGCACTCCGTCGCCTCCTCAACCGCGCCCACTACATGCTCTATGACCGCGACAGGGGCCTTCAAATTGATTCCAATAATTTCTATTCCGTGAACCAAGAACTGGCACGCCAACTACACGACTGGTATCAAACCCTACCTCCAAGTCTGCGATTCCCCGAAGACGACAAGCCTGCAGACGACCCGCACAGCGAGTATTTGAGACAGTGGTACCTCAGCTGTCGAAGTGTCATCTATCGACCATATCTGGAGTGGGCCCTCGCTAATCCATTGTGGGATCTTAACAACAATCTGCGTGTGCTCGATGGCTGTCGGGTTGCCCTCGACACTTGCCTATTCAAATTGAGGCACCTGAAGCAGGTGCCATATACTGTCATGGTAGACGCATGGCCATGTTCGCTCTCGTAAGTCTGATTCCGGAAGACTTCGCAACTGTTGGGCATTGTTGCTGATACAACGAATTATCTTGTTAGACTCGAGACAGCGATCTTGACTCTCATGGGTGGCTTCTGTCATCCACAGCTGACAATGCAGCTTCGCCATATTCCGTTGCTAGATCTAGGGCCCCGCCTGGAGCAGCATTTGCAACGATGGATGACTATCCATGGATCCTCCGTTTCTCCCAGTATGGAGAAGGCATTGAGACTCATCATGAAAGCCCACGCGTTCTTCGAAAGCAAAAGTGCAGACTTTGCTCCTTGCGGGGAGGAGGAACAACATCTCTCTCCTGTGTCCCTTCGAATGCCTCTCAGATAGTACTTGTCAGTAAGCCATTTAGCAAAGTCCGGGAAATGTATACCACTTAGTAAACAAGACGGCACTATCAATGTGACTCGATGTGTCTCGAACTATCTCAACACAGCTCGGATTGGTGTCTAGAACTCAAGAGTTAATTGGGGCTCTATTAGTTCACGACCCGTTGTCCTTTGTCCCGGGAGTCCGGCCGGCGTTGGCCAACCTGCCTCAGATATCTCAAAACTCTATTGCCTTCAATAATGCAGAACTGACAGCGATAGATCTCTCTTGTTCAAACCCTTCTGCCTCTCAGAAGAGCCTGAAAAGCACGTATTGGAACTCTATTGCGCCGCTATTGCAACCACTCGGTCCTTACGGGGGTTATTTGAATCCGTCCGGCTCTCTAGAAGCCTTGCTATCCCGAGACTTCAGCGACTTTCAGCCTTGAAACAACCAGCAGGGACATGGTTTTGCCCTGCCTCATGAATAGTCACCAAAGCAGAAACATTCACCGTTTGGACAGTAAACGAAGTATTCAGTATAGGGTCACACAAGGAAAGCTCGTTTGTTCTTAGCGCTAGAATTGAATGGTATAAATAGGCCTTACATATTTATGTCGAATGATAATTAATGGATCCTTATTATGTTGGCCTTGTAGAGACGTTTCCACAACATAGGGCCATCCTAAATTGCCCTTTACCAACAAAGACGGACGGCTCATGTGGTATACCAGCCGAGTGTTACGACGCCAGGGATGTGTACTAGTTTGCTTCTATAGAACCTTTATAGCTGTGGACTAAGACTGAAATCTGACGAACTGGTCAGATTAAAAAGTTATGGGTGAATTAGTTAAAAAGTATACATGGGACTGCAATCTATTGAACAAACCAAGATCTAGCTTTTTAGTTCTCACGAAGATATAGGCTCCAATACCATACCAAAGGTGAGATCCTGCACCTTAACTAGATGCTCATCCATGACTCCGGGGCCACAGGCCGCACTTCCTACGCCTGCGACGTGGTCATCCAACTTCACAAATACGGCATCATCTTTTACGAGATCACAAGTGTGTCGTGCCGCCTCAACAGTCTCATCAGAGTACTGGCTAGCTGTCCAGCTCAGGCTTCCCGTTCCCCCATTCACCACTGTACTTTTTTGAGGGCTTGCACGGAAGCCCGTGCCATTGGGAGCGAGAATTTCTACCCAGGCAGTATCCATGCGGTTTCCATTCTCCTGTGGAATGTCATACACCGTCTGCAAGGACGCAATGTCATCAACATTCCACAAACCAAACTTCTGCGCAATCTTCTTGTCCGGGTACGATTCTCCAGGACCAAGTCCAAGCCAACGTGCCGCCTGCAGATCAGAGTTTGCACGAAGATTGAGACCAACCCGTGGAACAGTTGACGGTGCGGCACCCGTGGGTTGCAAGTTCATGGTGATGGATAATGAGCCGTTGGGCTTGATGGTATAACGCGCAAGACATTTCCATCCCCAAGAAAGAACCGGAGGCGAGATGAATGTCTCACTTTCGATGCAGACACTCCCATCCTCCAGTGTTGATCCGTTGAGAGAACGGAATTGGTTTGTGAGGCAGTTCACACCGAATCGCTTCCAATACGGCGCTGCCTGAGGTACGTCGTTATCTGTCGGAGGACGCCAGAAACCAGGTACCATAGCAAGCCCTGTGTCGGGACTCGGCTCGAGAATAGATCTGGAGTTGTGTGTCCATTTCCTGAGATGTCCGCGTATGCGATCGAACTCAAAGGACCAGTTGGCTCCGCTGACAGATATAGTTGTCTTGGTGGAGTTTGTTGAGAGAGCGCTCTGAGCAGAGCCCAAGCCATTGACTAGCCCTTGCTCGGTTGGCTGTGATACCAAAGCTTGTGTCCAAGCAACGGCATAAGTTCCCTCATCCCATTCGACCTTTCCTCGCTGCTCAAGGGTAATGGTCAAGTAGGCGGGGTGGACGTTGTGTTGGAATAGCTCTTCCGGGAGAGAAATTTCAGCAGATTGCCCAGCGGGCACAATGGGCAGGTCTAGCGATCCAGTTGCCAAGGTTTTTGTTCTAGGTTGAAAAGTTAGAATGTCTTCAATTTATTGAAACGAGAGTTGTGGACTCACTCCTTGTCAAATGCTTCAAGCTTGTATGAAGCTTGGAGATGATTCAGGTCCAAAAAGTTGTACCGGTTCTTCAGGGCCAAGCGCTGTCCACAGACTTCCAGCTTGACTGGCTCATAGACTCTCTTTAGCTCCAACAGGCCCGGTAGAGGCTGATGGGCACTGTTCAGGAGACCATCCATCACGAATGTTCCATCGTTCGGATAGTCATCGAAGTCACCACCGTAGGCATAAAAGCCGTCTTTCTTGCTGTTTCCTTCAACGTATAACCCATGATTGGCCCATTCCCAGATGAAACCACCCTGGAGACGCGGGATCTCGTCAAAGCATTTCTCGTATTCCGTAAGGAGGCCGGGTCCGTTGCCCATGGCATGACCGTATTCGCAGAGAATGATAGGTTTCTCAAACTCGCCATTACTCGAAACACCCTCGTTGGCTGCCAAGGATCGCAGCCGGTCGATCTCCGGGTACATGTAGCTGAACATGTCAGTGGTCTCCGCAGGCATGTCTCCCTCGTAGTGAATCAAGCGAGTGCTGTCGAAAGCGCGGGCATACTCTACCATGGACCGGTGACATGTGCCAAAGAAAGACTCATTTCCCATGGACCAGATAATAACACTAGCATGGTTCTTGTCTCGTTGAATCATTGATTGAACTCGATCCACGTACGCTTCGCGCCAGAAGGGGTTGTCTGATGTATGAGCACCACACTGCGGGAATGTCAACCCCTTGCGCTCCTCGTAGCCAAGAGATTCATCGATGTCCATTGGGCGTGAGACAGCATCATAGAAGCCATGACATTCAAGATCAGCTTCATCCATAACCCACAAGCCCAGCTCGTCGGCCATGTCGAGAAGCCGAGGATCGGGGGGATAATGGCTGCAGCGGAGCGCATTAACGTTGTGGGCTTTCATGAGAAGTAGATCTCTGCGCATGAAGTCCAGCGGCACGGCACGACCCAACAACGGGTGGTGGTCGTGTCGGTTGACTCCCCGAAGCTGAATGGCCTTTCCGTTGACGGTGATGAGACCACCCTTGCGCTCGACTTTGCGGAAGCCAATGCGCTGTGTGATAGTGAATGGCTTGTTGGATCCGCGAGGTGTCAAGAGCATCTCCACCTCATACAGATACGGCTGCTCGGCACTCCATTTCTTGGGGTTGGCAACAGGCAAGCTTAATTCCACTGTAGATGTTGCTGGCTCCACAATACACTCGGTGGAAGCAATGACGCTCCTGCTGCCGTGCACCGGGTCAATCAAATTGAGCACAACAGCGCTTGGCTCGGAGACTTGGTAGTCAATTGTTGCGAGAAGCGTCGCATTTCTGTACTCTGAATCGAGTTCAGTGCGGATAAACCAGTCATTCAAGCGGTCGTCGGCTGGCAATGCAATCAAAGTGACATCTCGGAAAATGCCTATTCTCATGATCCATATTAGCACATACCTCTGTCCTACTAAGGGTTACTTAGGGCCATTTAAGTATTACCAGAGAGCCACCACTGATCCTGGTCTTCGATATAGGTAGCGTCTGACCACTGATACACCCGCACAAAGACTTCATTGTCACCGTCCTGCAAAAACGATGTGACGTCGAATTCAGAGGCGTTTCTGCTCCCCTGCGCATACCCGACCAAGGCCTTGTTCACCCAAATGTGGTACGCGCTATCGACACCGTCGAATCGCAAACGAATCTCTGTGTTGTTGGTTTTCCACTCGGATGGCACTTGAAACTTCCGACGGTATGTCCCCGTTGGGTTCTCGGTTGGTACACATGGGGGGCACACAGGGATAGGGAACTGTGTGTTTGTATAATTTGGCTTTCCCCAACCCTGCAACTGCCAATGACCTGGCACATTGATGCTCGACCAGGCCTCGGCGGAGATATCCTCGCTAGGCTCCGGTGCCTCCGGTGGTGACCGGGACATGTTGAACTCCCAGGCTCCATTGAGAAGCAGAGATGTGCTAGGAATGTGGTAAGAACGCGCGGGAAGGGTATTTCGGCGAAAGACCGCGGGGTTCATGAAATCGGGCCGTTCGGGATCGGCCTGCAAGGCCAGCTGTTTGGCCGGAGAGCTCATGGTCCTAGAATGGGAATTTGACGGAAATAAATTCGGACTCCAGGGTCGTTGACTGAGTTGGGGCCAGCTTTGCTACCCTGCGTCCTTTATACCATATTGTTAGACTAAATGACGTCGGGGTCTGAGAAGGACCTAAGACTATCTTACAGATTTTATGGACCTGGCGGCAAAAGAGTCGTCGGTATGTACGCTCGGCATGGAGTCACCCCCGGGTCTCCAACAATCCCCGCGGGTCTATCGGAGCCGTGAATTGTGGGGTGAGTCCTGCGGGGAGAATGAGCATGTTGGGCCCAATAGAAATTCACGGGGCTACCGGCACCGCGTCAATCGGGGCCGGGCAAGACTTGCGCAGACTTTTAACCCACAAAGTTTAAAGACGGCCAATCGCCGTCTGTCCACGTGGGCTTGCGGATCTAGACGCGCACGTCCCGGAAAACTGTCATTGCCACAAGACTGTCGTGATTGGCCAAACGTAGGGCAAGGAATTTGACAGAATCCGGTTGTGCTATGGGCATCGGAGACTGTCACAAACCTACCACTTCATGTCGGCGAGGGCGAGAGAAGGAAGCCCATGATTGTGAGAATAAATAACACCCCGCAGCCATCCTTTTCCCGTTGAATTGGGTCATACTCTTTGCGGATTACCTCCCACGGCGTGGAGAACAAGACCTTTCAGCATCATGGGAGACCCTACACATCCAGACCAACTAGCGGAGAAGGAAGGTGACTGCCATGCTACGCACCAAGAACACGGGGATGGCGTCAAGGAGGGCGTCAAGGTTGAGACTGTTCACGGCTCACTGGCTCTCGACTTAGCCAGGCGGAGCGATCCCCCGAAACCGTGGAGCGTGCAGATGAGAAAGTTATATTTATTCTTGATTGTGGCATATCTTTGCTCGGCATTGAATGGTACGAGGGAAACACTCGATAGCTATGAAAAGTTAACCACTAACTGCTGTCCAGGATTCGATGGCTCGCTTATGGGTGCTCTACTTCCTATAGAGCAGTTCCGTGAAACCTTCGGCTCTGGCTTAGTCGGTTCCAAGGCCGCGTTGATTCAGGGAATGTATACCATTGGAGGTGTCTCCGCGCTGCCATTTGTCGGAATCATCCTAGATACTTGGGGTCGACGGTGTGGCATGTTTACTGGATGCTGCGCTGTCATTCTGGGTACAATTGTTGGTGGCACTGCCAACCACATGGATCAATTGCTTGCCAGTCGATTTTTCCTTGGTATGTTCCTAGTCACTACCCATTCGAATAACTCCGCTAACAGGATATCTTAGGTTGGGGATACTCCCTGGCAGGCTCCGCCGCACCTGCCTATGTCGTCGAGATGAGTCACCCTGCATACCGTGATATTCTGACTGGCTTTTACAATTGCCAGTATTTTATCGGAGCTATTGCTGCTGCTGGCGCTTGTCGTGGATGTCTGAGATTTGAAAGTTCTCTTGCATGGCGCATCCCCATTTGGTGCCAGCTGATTTCATCCGGCATTATAGTGTTGTCTGTTTGGTTCATTCCCGAGTCACCTCGCTGGCTCTATAGCCATGGCCGCAGCGAGGAAGCCTGGGATATTATTGCCAAGTACCACGGCGAGGGTTTCCGGGATAATGCCTATGTTCAACTACAGATCCGAGACTATGAAGAGGCAATCAACATGGAAGGTTCCGATAAGAACGCATGGGACTTTAGGTCTCTTGTTAGAACAAAGGCCGCGAGGTGGAGACTCATGTGTGTGGCTATTGCATCTTTTATGAGCCAATGGGCACAGGCTGGCGTTACAACCTACTATATTGGTGGGCTTTTAGCCACAGCTGGTATTACTGATACGGAGCGTGTGCTGGACGTCAACCTTGGCATCACGGTAGTTTCTGCAGGTCTAGCATATCTGGGAAGTTATTTGGGCCCAAAAATCCGCCGCAGACCTATGATGATTGGCGTGTCTATTGCTTGCGCGGTAAGTATATACGTCCCGCCCTCTGCTTTTATCAATGTTCTCCGCTAATTTTTCGATATGAAGATCGGCCTTGCGAGTTTTGCAGCCACAACCGGGGTGTACTCGGAAACATTGAACACAGACGCGGCCACTGCTTCTATTGTGTTTGTCTTCTTGATCGCCGCTTTTTACAGCTTTGGATGGACTCCTTTGCAAGCCATGTACGCTGTTGAATGTCTTGCATACGAGACTCGCGCCAAGGGAATGGCAATGTACTCTCTCTTCACTAATATCGCCTTGCTGGTAAATCAGTTCGGAGTTGGAAATGCTATCGAGGCTATTGGCTGGCACACATATATCATTCTGGCTGGCTGGAACATTGTTCAGGGAGTATTCATCTACTTCTTCGCTGTTGAAACGAATAACCGGACACTCGAAGAACTCACGGAGATCTTTGATGCACCCAATCCTCGAAAGAAGAGTACGGAAAGAAGACAGGTGTTGGTTGATGAAACTGAGAACAAGGTCGTGCAAGTTAAGAGTGCATAGATTCAACCTACTCGTTTCCAGTTCTAGGGTCAGCTCATGCATGGTGTTTGTGTGCCCACAATAATTCAGCACCTTGGCTTTCTGCCAATGATCTTGGAGTTCCAGAAATTATAGACATGATTAGACCTCTATATACAGCTATAAAATTTATACTATTATAATACTATATCTCCTAATTAAATCACTTAGGCTACTTAATATATGCCGTACTCTTTAATAAAAATCTCAATATGGCTTAGCCTCTTTAATTTTAATTATATTACTAGTAATAACTATATATATATCTCTAAAGTAGATATAAAATAGATATACTCTTTTTTAGTATATATTTTTAAACTAGTCTTACTAGATTAAAAAAATAAAGAGTAATAATCCTCGCTTATAGAAGTAAAATTAAAATATTACGGGCCTGCAGGCCTTTATCAGGAGATATAAAAGGTATCCTCGCTGAAAAACACCAGCTTTAGCCATGCTATCACAGCCGAGGCTGGACTATATTATGAGACCTGGCCCTAGTCCTGGCTACAAGTTATACTAAACAACTAAAAATCTCAACAATATAGCACAAACCAACGATGGAGGACATAGAAAAGATAGTGAGAATAAGCGAAAACAGGTAGCGGGTTGGAAACAGGAAACCTCTGGCGAATGCGCAACTGACGCATCACATCCAAGCTGAAGGAGTTGGCGACCTTTTCGATATGCTCGTCTTGAAGCACAATGACTCCCTGATAAGATCTCAGAAAGTCTTCGAGCAAGTCATTTCCGTTCTCTGCATTATCGGCTGCTGCCGACAGCACTTTATCAGTGGCAACGAAGTCGCCCCAGAGATTCTCGACGCGAAGCAGCTCGAAAATATCCCCGCCACGTTGACTATTTCTCATTGCTGCTACCACTATATCTTCGTTGGTTCTAGCACCGTGCTGAAAAAAGCTGAGAAGTGATTTTATTTCCACGGATTCCTGGGCTGCAGCGATTGCTGCGACCCTTTGAAGATTCAAGACTTCTCTCGTAGGATGTTGGAGCAATACTCTGAGATACCGAGCACTGTGCGTAGGATTCTTGACTGCAGCTATAAGAATATTCTCCGTGATCTTTGCATTCTCCTGGGCTTGATGAAGTATTACCTCAAGGATGGGGCCATTCTGCCATATATGGGGCCGATAGATCTCGCTGGTGAGAGGCTCACCCGTCCACCAGCTCGGGTTCCCCGAGATAGCTGCCAGGATGCCCTCAGAGAACCGAACTTTAGACGGATGGTAAGATAAAAGCCATTTGAGAATGTCATTGCCGAGCAGGTCATTGCGTGCAGCATGCAAAAGTACCGTGGGAGTCATTGATTCTAAAGTTGGGTCATAATCTGCGAACATTTGCATCAGAGTCCACCCGTTAACTTTATTTTTGGCAGCTGCGATCCAGGCTTTCTCGGTGAGGAACTTGCTTATGAGTGGCAATAGATGATGTACCGTAAACCAAGCCCGTTCTTGCTCATTCGATATAGCATGGAGGAAGACATTCTCCGTTAAGTGGTGGTCTTCTCGGTCAGTGGCGAGCTTCTCCAACAGGGACATAGTGGAGTCTGCGTCTCCCTTGGCCATGACGAATGCAATCGAAGCAGGGGAAAACCTGACTCTACGGTCCTTAAATAGAAGAATGCTGCTTATTAGGGGTTCCCCGTCGTTTTCGTTCGATCGGACCATGTTCTCGGTCACTGTCAGGCTGAACCCAGGAAGCTCCAGAAAGAACTGCAAAACCGAGCCTCTTCCTGCATTTCTAACAATCGAAGTCTTGATTTCCTGGCTCCTGAGTAGACTGCTACCTCCATATTCAAACACAAGTCGAAAGGCAGAAGGGCAAGAATTGGGATTCTGCAACAGCGCTATCATGACCTTTTTGGATACTGATATCCGGTACGAAGAGCAAGAGAACAGTAGCCGAAGAGTCTCGTAGCTCTCTTTAGAATTTCTTGCTGCTGCAATAAGAACGTCCTCTGTAATTGGGACCTTTCCCGGGAACCAGTCCAGGAGAAGTTGCACATTTCGCTTGCTGTTGGATGCAGCAGCCTGGGCAATGTTTTGCGTAATTCTCACGCTTTCAAGGCTGTAGTATTTGGCAATAATCGTAAAAAGGGCCTCACACTCTCTATTCGCCACGGCAGACAGGAGAATATCTTTCGTAAGCCCCATAGGGTCGTATGTGCAGTAGCGTAGCAGATATTCAAGTAAATACGCAGAGGTGTAGTACGCCGTGTTTGTGTCTTCGTTCATTTTCAGATTCTCAGCGTCCCTTTCATCATTGGGCACCTGCGGCTCAGCATACCAATATTGGCGAGGTTTAAGCACGCTCGAGTGATCAGAAGATTTACTGTCGTAGAGTTCGTCGGATTCAGGCCAACCGGGGTTGCACTCCGAGGTCTCGTCTGGTTCACCATATTCATCGTTGGTTGTTACCTCAACATGACTTGGTGCATCTGTCTGCAGGACCATAATGAGAACCCTGGGGGTAATAGTCAGATGATCCGTGTATCTTTTGAAGAATGACTTGATAATCTTCACGTTTTTTGTGGATACGATGGACACCAAGACGGATTCGTCAACTAATAGCCGATTTTCGGTGATTTTGAAGAGTTCATCTGCGATTCCAGAACCGAATATCTCGAGTATTCTTTCGATACTAGATGAGTGGATGGGGTGAACGAGCGTCCCATGTTGAAGTAACCTGCGCAGGCTCTTCACATCTGGACGTGCGCGCGGTTCGAGATGAAACCGAGGAGGAAAACCAGCAAAGGAATCCACGAGTTGTTGTGTCACGACCAGCGGCTTGTGGTAATTTTTCAGGCACAAGTCGACCATATCATAGTTCTTCGTGCGAATCACTGAGGACAACACACTTTCTGAAATCATTCCTCGACGGCCTGCTTTTTCGATCACCTCTTTCCAGTCCACAAGACTGGGATCGAGGCGACTCAGGTCGAGGTCGGTGAACTTCCAGACCATGAAGATCCAGGTTTCCTCGTCAACAATCTCAGACTTAGATTCAGGTCCAACAGGCCCCAGCTGTCCCATGGGTTAAGGTGCTGCGAAATCCTTTGCAATGCGCCACGTGTTATTTTGACATTTGGCTGTCGTAACAGCTCGAAGCTGTCAAATTGATCGAGCGCTCCCTTTATTATCATTTCTCCTGTAATTTCCAATTCCTGGGAATTCAACACTTGGAGCACAGTTTGTTTCCCAAGCCATTGCTGACTGCATGACTCCACCACTGCGCTGACCTCCTGGGATGGACGTTCACTCCTCTTGATCAAAGAGTTGAAGGTTATGGGATCAATATCCCTGATCGCCAGGTGAATTGCGGGTACAAACAACGGGTCGTAACGGAACACCTTGTAAGACAGGTACTTTGTGACTCGCAATCGGACTCTCGCTATCAAATTGGGGGTGAAGGCCGGTAACCTCCCTCTGTGTGTCTGCAGGATGAAATGAGAATGGGGGCCCAGCGTGTAGAGTTCAAAAAGCCTGAGGAGATCATCTTCGTTGAAGACGACAGAGACTCCACACTCAATCAACATAGCCACTACACGCAATACCCGATCCTGGAGAGTGACGCCAGTGAAATATATTTTCTGACTGCGATATTTAGTCACAGTGTCGGCAAAGCACGTCTCGAGCCCTGCAAAAAGGACATCCTTTGCTAATAAACCTTCCAATGCGACCGCATCGTTTTTTCGATCTGTGTCCACTATATTTCCTGATGTCTCGGACAAATGAGCAAGTAGAATATTAAAGACATTCAGACCTTGCCCCAAATTTGTGGCTGCAGCCAGCAGGACGCTCTCGGTTGGAAGGACATGGCTGCGCTGTAGAAGGATAGTGACGACGTCAGGCCCATGTTCGCCATTTGAAGCGGCAGCAGCAAGAACCTCCTCGTTAATAAGCGAGTTACTGCCGTGTCGATCGAGGAAGATTGCAATGATTATCTCGTTGAATTTTCTTGCTAGAAACGGCAATGTACTATTGGAGAACGGAATTCGATCATCAATTCTGTCGAACAGGGCAAGGACGATCGGAAAAGAGCAGTGCTCGACAATACCATCCACCATGTCGGCTCTGATACAACCAGCTAGGCGAAAGATGGGTGGTTCCCAACCTCAACTCTCTGTCTAGAATTGCTTCTTCCCACCTGATCTTTCTCCAGGGATTCTAAGGCCATAGTTATTTCTAGCAGGTGTTGAGTCAAACATATTATCTCATAATGCCATCGTCTCTCTTGCTCTTAGACCGTAGGGAACCGTGTCCCAGAGGGAGGGGCCTTTTCCAAGTCGCAATTGCTGACTCAGATTTAGCTCCAAATGACCCCCTAAGCTGAGGTTATTGGATCATATCCTACAACCAATCCTTGTCTTCTCGATACGCGCGCTGGCTGGTGGTTGCGGATGGCACCACCTTCTCGGTCCCTGTCCTTTAAATTCTTCAATAAATTCGTGATAAAGATCGTGGTCTATTAGAGGATTTCGGCCACAATGAGTCAATCACGCAGCATGTATGAAGTCTCTTATGCGGCAGCCACGTCTCATTTTAGGAATGGCGCCTCATACCCATCTCAATTTCTCAGACGACATTCCGAGCCCACGATCTCCTTCACTCGTAACTGGTAATTATTGGTTTTGTACCGTGATTTTCTGAATAGTTAGGACCTAGCCGCCATTTAAGGACCTACTAGGGAAAAATAGCATTTCTAGGTTCTTAGTTTCTTCAGTACTCAAAATTAGAGCTCTTTGCTGAAGTACACGAGCTAATAGATTACATTGTCTGGATGCACGCTTGATGCATTTACTGACAACCTTTCCGACATGATTGAAAGTTACGGGTATATGATGGAACCTTTGAAAACCATGAGCAAGCCAATACTCACAATTCCTTGAAAGATATCGTTTCCTACTATCTCTCGTAGGAATAGAACATCCTTGCAGAGACTAAAACAGACCGAGCAAGAAGCATCAACTCTCCTACCAATCGGCTTTCTTTGCGGACAAGCGGTTGCTGATAAATGTTAGTTTTATATTCGTCTACTCATGACATGTTGGCTTGGGTACCTCTTTCAAAGATTCAATAGACTTTGCTGTCGAGAGGGCGGAAAGGAACCCAAAGGCATCTGAGTCGACAGGCCAACGATCCACGTCATCTACTCCCACCATTCCATCATCTTTCACATACTTCTGCATGATTTCCATGGTAATGCAAGCGAGAGTTTTGATGTATACATTCTGTGCCTGACCCGGGGGACGTTCTACGCACATCTCCAAGCTGGCTATAGGGGATTAGAATAATCATTATGAAGGACGCAATTGCCACTTACCGATCTTGATAACGCCATCTAGGCCGAGAAGGATATTCCGGCATATCAGAGACTGGTGTTCTAATCCAGTTTCATTGAGGTAACATAAACCATTCAAAATCTGCACTGTCGTGAGCTTAAAATACTTGAAGTGTCAAGAGCCACATACCTGCCAAGTCATAGAAGCTAATTCCGCCTCCGTAGGATAGAGAGACCGACACCCCACAAGCTGCTCCAAAGTGAGCTGGAGGTCGTTGACGAGAGCGTACATGCATCCTTCATTAACGAAGCACTCTCGGGCCGTCAATACATTATCGTGGTCAAGGATATCATACAGTCGTCGCATTTTAGCCACGTCCCCTTTGGTGTACTCCCGAATGGCTACTACCTGGGACGGATGGGAACGGCGAGCTGCAATGAACACCTCACCTGCCAGATTACACCTGAGGGTCCGACGATAGGTGTCCCAGGGTGATTCCTCCCTCACGATTAACCCGAGATATGTACCTTCCTCGCACACCTGAGGTAAGCCAAAGCATTTTGGGCCTCCACTCACAACCTTTCGTGTATGTTCGCTCCGGGGAGACATTTTTCTCTTTTTTGAGTTGGAACTACTGTCCAATTGGGTGGGTGCATCAAGCTGGTGTGGCTGTTTGCTCAAGGGTGCCTCTCGTGGTGGGTTATTCGCAAGTCGTTCTTGGTAGCTCTTGAAGTCAATCGCCGTGCAGTGCTTGTCTTGTTTCGACATATTTGGACCAGATCAAGAGGTGCGGAAAGGAAATGAGGTGGAAACGTATAGTGCTTGAAGGCGAAGGCCTATTTATAATGCAATTGTATTAATGGAACTAAATCTGTTTTGGGGGCCACCCCCAGCTTTTGCAGTCACATTGGTCACCAGGACGCTGAATCAGCTAGGTGGACCCTTTCTTCTGTGAGGCCAAGACCAGTCAAATATAAACAACCGATACTCTACTGCTACGTAGATTCTGCCTCACCAGCACAATGGACGAGTCTATATACACAGATCCTGAGCTGCAGATCCTGACAGAAAGGTGTCGGACTTACCAAGGAACAGCCAAGGTTAACATCAGCCAGATTACCCCCCACCCATCCATCTCGCAACATATGAACACAAAAAATGTGGAAAGACTCTGTGAGATATTTGACAAAGAAGGTTGTCGAAGACTCGATATATACAACCACGTGAGCGCTGTTGTGTCAAGAGAGCATCTCCATGAGGCTCTTCAAGCAGGGCGAGTAAACGCCGCTGACATGATGACTGATCAACCGAGCCGCTACCCACACCTCCATTTCTCCACTGGTTCCATACAGTGCCTTCATGGTCAACATCGATTAAAGGCCGGAGAACACTATTTACCATCGATCGACCAATGGTGGACTGTTGACTTGTATTTGGATGGTAAGCCAGAAATCCACCACATGCTTTCCCGCAGTTTTGACAACCCCAAGACATTAGTCCCGATCTTCAAACAAGCCTTGTCGATGAATATTCCAACGAGAGAGTTCCAAGCGATGGTGAGATTTACCTGAAAGTTCGGCAATATCGATATGAAGCAAATTCACACTTCGAAAATCGATGGTTGGCGCGGCTGTCAGACAACAAAGCCAGGCGGCTTCGCGGACTTGAGTCTCATCCGAGCGTCCGAGCTGCTTTTGACTCGTTACTCGGCTTGCCCTCCTTGATGATACATGGAATGCAAATCGGATCTCTTCCGCAGGCTCTGGCTATTTGCTGCGACGAGGTAAGGTCGTCTGACTCTTAAAAAAACATAGATGCTGATTACGTTCGTAGGAGATAGTTCACGCGCTGACTAGGCTACGGCAATACTGGTCTTCACTCGTGGGACACGATCGTGCTAAGATGCTCAAAGTTGACCCTCATACGGTGGAAACATTGCAACTCCTGGCACCTGGAGTCTCCTCGAAGGATAGAACCACCGTGAAAGGTCTTGTACACAGTGGCGAAGTCTTTTCAAATTTCACAGCATCCGAGCGGACCTCAATTTGGAAGCGATTAAAGAGGACAGAGGGCATAATTCCATCTCTGTATACGTTTTTCAAGGATCTCTGGTACCTAGAATCATGCGCGAACTGCATCAAACGGCTTATCATACCTTCCAGATCATTCCCCACGATTAGAGGCGCCACGCGTGCGGCCTTCTTGTCTTTTGATTCCACCCATACGCAGTTCTTGATACAAACATCCGAAGCTGGGTTTCGATCTTACTCGCACTCCCAGGGGGACCCAGCGGAACTTGGATATCGACAACTATGGCTCTATGCTATGCGTCACTACCCGAAGTTATCCAAAAAGCCTCAGAAGAAAAATCCTACGGCGAAGCCTAATTGTGAGGTGGTGGAGCCTATGATACTGTATGAGATGGCTGTACTCGCAAAGAGACTTGGGTTTCAGTCGCCACAAATTGAGCAGCTCATCCAGCAGTCGCCCGATCGGCAAATTGCGCAAGATGCTCTTTTGAGAGCCCGTCGACCAGATCGTTATCGGTACAATAGGGAAGAAATTGAATCTCTGATCAACAAAGTCACCGAGTGCTTCTTGAGGGCCGTCCTTCTTGACCATAAGCTTCCAGTACAATTCGTTGGTGGAAGGGAATCCAAGAAGGAATCTCGATGTGGACATCCGCAAACCGAAGCCCAACTGCAAGATTGTCAATTCCTTTTCATCGACCAACTCCATGGTGATTCCCTCCAAAGGGAACGAAAAGCTACTTCCACTTTGGTGAGGAGCAGTGTCTACTTTACCTTCTTCAGCAAGCTGTCAATGCCCTGTGAAAATAACGACACAGCGGGTATATCTCCAACTCCAGACTTGCCAATGTCCCCGCTTTTTATTCCGAGCAATAGTTCGCCGCAAGATGAAGGAGAACGGGTTGGGTCTGCGGGTACAGGAGCCGGGCAGGATAGCAACTTAGAGCGGCAACGTTTGAAAGATGCACGCCGAGGGAGACGTCAGCAGAAGCAAGCGAAGAAGCTACAGAGGCAACAGCAACGACAGCAGCGAAGACACCGATCCTCACGTGCGGGCCGTCATTATGGCAAGGAAATCGCGCGCATTGATTCGGAAGGCAGCCGGATAGGAGAGGTAGTGGAGCCAGCATCCGAGACAGGATTTGGATTCGTTGGAAGTAGGGGTATAATAAGTCAAAATGAGCAGGGTCTTCTTCATATGGAACCAGCCGAAGCCGATGAACTGGAGCATGGCGAGATTATTGAGGGGGATCATGGTTTCAGCGACGAAGAAGAATCAGAAGATAGTCACGCTGGATTTGGGTTTGTTCCCTCGAGACCTCCCTCGCTTTCTGTTGCGTCAAGGTATACCTCCACGGAACTACAAGTATCAACGGTCTCGCACGACCAACTGTCCTTGATGCAACCCCCACAGTCACCAGGAGAGTTTCGTTTGACATCTATGGCCTCTTTACCACCACACCCAGATATGAATTCGCATGAGAGGCAACAACACCTCCTCGCCGCCGGATTTGAAGATCACGACTCTATGGCACCAACGGGCAAGGAAAACAAAATCCTCCGTCTTGCTGATGCCGAGGACGAGCAGCCGCGGGGGGGGGGCGAGGAAAACATAGCCGGGGGAGAATCTTCGATAGATGTCAATATGGAAGAGCACGCAGGCGAACAAGAGAATGAAGCGGCAGAAACAGCAGCGCAGCTTTCTTCATCCGAAGAAGTTGAAAAAGCACTGGCAATTTTAGAAGGACGTGGGGCATCGGAGATAACATCGGGCCCCTCTAGGACTGTGGGCACCAAAAGTGCGGCGCTGCGAGAGAGCGCTAAATTCAAACCATACGACCGCACGCAACAGCGCGAACAAACCCGCAAGCTATCCATTCCGCCACAGGAAACTCTGGAGCAGGATATAAACGCACTGTTACGAACGGCTGATCAGGAACAGACAGCAAGACCTGGTACTCAAATTGATTTCCTCGAAGCACAGCATCATCCTTTGTTGGAGATGAATGAAGAGCAGAGTTCATGGCCCGTGGCTAGTCAAGTTGGCCTGACTCAGGACCAGCAACAGGCACCGGAAGAAAGATCAGGCTCGGTCGAGTTAGAACCGCAGCCAGAAATTTCGAGCTCGATCGATCAAAACTCAGACCACCATGGAATAAGGAATGTCCGATCGGAACAGGAAGAACGGTCGTCTGAGTCTGTACCGCTGGACGCTTCGCCGCAGGTTCATGTTATCGCCGATGCTACGCAGAAGGACACTCTGGTAGAGCGCCCCTCGTCGTCACTACAACGAGAGTCTCCCGCGCAGACCGATACGCGCACACGGATAGAAATAACTGGGTCAGACAAGTTGCCCGAGGAACAAGACAAGTCTCGTGAGCGAGGAGAAGGAGCGAGCGATGCAGCCAAGCATCCTGCAGTGACAATCATGTTCCGTGCACGTGATGAACACGGCGACTGGAATCGCTTGGTCCACCAAATGGTGGTCGATCCATCTGACCCCTCTCCTGTTGGGCGAATGGCGTCCAAAAACGCGCGAGAACGTCAGGCAACGTTTTATGACCAGAATCTACGGCAGGTCCCACCGGGGCAGTGCTTTGATGCGGCAATTGAGGATGGCACGAACACGATATTCATGACATTCGGCGACGATCTGGTTGTGAGTGAAGAGGCGGTGAATTCGATCGCACGAGTAATTGAACCCGGTAGCGATGATGATCGGCCGACAAAACGCCGGCAGTAGGCGATAATAATGCACTTGAGATCTAGATCAAAATACTTGTATCCCATATAGACCGTAGTCAGAAGACCGAGGACCCTTATGGTCACTGAGCCAGGGTGGCCGCCAGTTGACAGCTATAAAGCCCACCTAGACTAGGAGCCGTGGACGTACGTCCAAAGTGGGTCCACGTCCACTGTCTTCCATCGGTGGCCTCGAATCAACTGTGCTAGGTCACAGTGCCTAAAGCCAAAGCCTTCCCACCACAGCTTCCCAACCACGGACCCACATCTCCAGACTCAAAGCCCGCTTGGACGCAGATCCACAGATCCATTACATGACTGGCCTTAAGGCACTGGATTTGTGTCTTTGTCGGCCTGGGGACAACATAGGCCAGAAAACACTCTTCCTCCATCTATGGAAGCGCCATGTCCAGCTTTTTAGTTGAATCCGTCGTAAAGCTCATCTAGCCTCGATTTCTTGGTAAACGTCCCTAAAGGGGCTCTTGAACCCTCCAGTTTGATACTGAAGGTAGGACTGGATACGGGCGAGCCTCTCACACCAAGATCAATCTCAACCTCTACCCAAGATACCCCTTTTCCAGCTAGCAAATGACGCAGGTAGCGGGGCTGGGCGTTCCAGTGGGGTCAAGGAGACCATGAAAGAAAGATGATCAAATTCGTGGGCCTTGCTCCAGGACGCTGACTCAGCGTCCTGGAGCAATCACATTGAGGTAGCATGTAGACGACACATTTCTTGTTAGCCACTGATCAATTATTTAAACTCATGCTGCTCACTTCTTCTGATGCTCCTGTATATAGTGCTGCCTCGAGTTTAATTGATAACACCGACGAAATATCTCGTTATGATTCAAGTACGGCCAGAGTAAGTACGCTTTCCTTTCCTCTGGAGGCGTTATCTAAAAACACCCAGTCAATTTATCTCCCCCCTCGCATACCTGGAGGTTGGCCCCAACGGGAAGAAATTCGCTGCGCCCAGCGGGATAATCCAAAGCCTCCGGTGTCGTTACAAAAGTTCGCCCGAAATAATATATGTGGTTGACGACGATGTTGAGGATATCTTTGGCCATATTCTTCAGTACCTTCACAGTGGGGACTACTCTGTCCTTATTCCAGCAGCCGATAAATCGAGTCATGCTTCATGCGAAGATGAAATCGATATTGCAACGCAGGATCTGCTTCCCTTGAAAGAAAATTATTTTGCGAGTCATGAAGATATCCAGGTGAAGACCGACAATTCGATATCTTTGCCACATTGTGGGGATGGAAACCACCTGTGCAAACATCCCAAGACACTGCTGGTGCATGCTCGTTTGTATGACTTCGCTACTAGACATGGATTGGACCAACTTGGAAATGTGAGTTTCAACAAGCTTTACTGGACTCTCTCGGAATATCCGTTAGATTCAGAACAAGCGGACGCAATCGTCGAGCTTTTACGGGTTGCCAATGGAATAGGCACCATCTATGCGCTAATGATTCACTATGTATCGTTCCACCTAAAGACTTTCATACGTTGTTCCAGTTTTCTCTCGTTCTTGGAAGAAAACCATCATGTCAGCTTCCACTTGTTCAATCTCTTATGTGATTCCCTGTGAGCCTTTATTCTTCATAGAAGGGCCTAGAGCGCTGAAAGTATCCTGGGATATTGAGATGAGATCACGTGCCCCTGGGTACGCAAGCCAGTCTTAGCAAGACACACCCGGGGAATTAATTTCAGTTATAGTATTTAAGCTAGAAGATCTGCCTCGCTTGGTTTCCTTATAATACCTTCTTCAGCCTTCCCCAGGTCTTGATCCATGATTAAAAATGGGGTCGGATAATAGGAGGCCTAGAAAAGTTAGCATTGGTCATGTGACTCGTTTCTGCCTGCATACTAGTTGCGACCCAAGAAATCCCCAAAATCCCGAGGCATCCGCCGATAGGATAAACACTTGGCCCGTTTCTCGAAGGCGAATCCCGACGCAGACGTCTGCTTCACACAACCTACTATATTCGCGTGCCTTTTTCATCAAATTGGATTTGCGACGACCTTGTTTTTGACGCATTGATTTTCTTTTCGAAGAAGAGCCATTTGAACGAGGGCCTGTAGTCGCCATCTGCTAGTCTGTAGCCTAAAATATGCCTCGGGACTCTAGTATTAGACTTGCTGGAAAGTAGAATTAAGAAATCAGGAAGTGGGTGCTCTTATAGTCGTATGCTTGTTGGCTAGGGAGTGGCTTTTAAAGAACGTCAAACGTTATGAAAGCACGAAAAGCGCAAAAGCGCAAAAGTGCAATGGCGGTTTTTGAACATATAACCGTGCCAAGCCCACCAACACACTACCTGATGTTGGTGGGCTTGGCACGGTTAGTAGGACTTCAATCTAGCAAACAAATCAAACCACCAATTCAAGCACCAACAACAGCACTGACGATAGCCCAATCGACTGCAAGTGGGGCACAGGATCTTCATTGCCAATAGAGTAAGACTATTCTGAACAGTTTCGTGCTACGTGGCCAGGCTGCCCACAACTGAAACACTGACCATTCTGCCTTCGCTCCTCAGTAAGTTGACGTTCAACAGCGATCGCTTTCTCTGCCATCTTTTCCCACGTGTCAGGAAGCTCCCCTAATTGACGAAGACCAATTTGCAATTCTTTTTTAAGGCTAATGAAGAAAATGGATGCAATAAATGTCTCCCGTGTGATTTTGCTTCGGAGCTTCAGGAATTCGGAAACGTAGTCAGCTGCGCTCCCAGTCTGTACCAGACATTGAAGCCGAACTACTGCTTCGATTCTAGTAAGGGGCTCATTCGATGCCGACATGTCTATTGTCATGCTAAGAGATATTTCTTAGGAAATCAAGATCAAAATATAGGACTTACACGTGATAGTATTTGTTCGCAATGCCCACTTAGCTCATGAGGTGCCTTAACAGAGTGCAAAAAGAGCGAAAATTACCACTATATATCTCTAGAGCAAAGGCGAGGGGTAATGCGGTGACACGTCCTAAGCGCCTTGCGGAATAAAACATACTTTTGGGATATATGATCTTCCCACGACTATGTGTTGTTTCAGGTCAAGACTCACAACATATCTCTCGCTTTTACTATGGAATCCTCTTATGTACTCTAAATGAACATTCTTGGGCCATACTCTTCCCACAGTTTGCATTCCCCTAGGTAGCCGTATCCTTACAAAATGCCGCAATTATCTTGGCAGATTTTAGGTTGAGAAAAAATACGTGAGCATTAGAGCACCAACGGCCCGAGACGCCGATGACAAGGCGATGCATGTGCTGGCAGGTGCGTTGGGGATTTGAAGCCCCACTCTAAAGTTAGGAACGTTATCATTAGCCAGGGGTACCTCTAGGTATGATAGATATCCTTGACCGTAGTCGTCTCCGCAGTGGGTTCTATTCGACCACACTGGGAATAGCGAGATGCTCTCCCGATGTAACAGTGGCTTATAGACGGCGGTTCTCAACCACCACTATAAAATCCAGCTACCTACTATCGTGCAGACCTCCTGATTGCAGCCAGGACCTGTTGGTTCCTATGCCAAATATTCAGCCGCACTTCGGTCCATATACGAATCCCGAATAGTTCAAGGACAGCAGCAGCTCTGACGTTCCTGGAACACATGTTCCTAGGGCGTGATAAATTTCTAGATAAGAAGATAAGAGCGAGGAGAAAATAATAAGATTTAAATTTTAAAGAGCTTTATTTCTAAATAAGCCGGAATAAAATATCCCTTTCAAATTTGAAGTTTAGAATATTTGACCTTTTGGAAAATTATAGCGCGTAAATTTTAAGAGGCTATATAATTTAAGTAATTCTAAAATTAATAGCCCGAAATTTTCGAGCCCTAAGAATATTCTATTATCTGGAATATTGTATGCCGATAATTTTCGACTCTGGCGGTGTTAACCGGACATAGGAAATTGGCGTAATGGTTATAGGGCGCAAAAAAGCGCATTGTGGACAAGGTGCATAAGCATAAGCGTCTTCTACAACATAAATTTAATATTTCACTCTTTAAGTTCGATTATCTCACATTACCTCTATTGCCTCAGAATGGGACTTCTTTCCAAAATCGCCCGGAAGTTGGGATTTGTGCGCGGTTATCTAGCACGCCATACTAATGGACAAACACGGATTATCCACTCTATCTAGCCACCTCATGAAATTGTAAAAACAATAGAATAACCCGGCGATTTCGGACTAAATTTAAGAAGTAGAGTGATAAGGTTGAGCGGTTAGACGACGTTTATATCGAAAGAAAATTGAAAATAACCTGAGCGTTCACGACTGACACGGTCCCGACCCTATCCTTTAGTTGTATACTATATACTTCATAGTGTTCGCAAACTATAATCATTCCTAGGCTGATGAAAGAGGATTTCGAGTTGAATCACCAAATGCGTCGAGCTCATATTAGAAAATACATGCACATCTATCCTGCAAATGGATAGCATTTGATAAACCCCGAAAAGCTTGCTCTACAAAAAGGGCATACTTTTTGATCAAGTCGTTCTGCGCATGTCTCACAAATCATATGCCCGCATAGTAGAATATGCCAACAATCCGGCTGCTTGTAGCATATTTTGCAGTCCAGAATGCGTCGTCGGGAAAGCTCCTCTTGATGCTGGTCTTCCTGTTGGAGAAGCTTGCTTTGAAGTTCCTGGACTTGCTTTTGCTGCTTTTCAACTTCTTGCTCGAGATTTTCAACCTCCTGATCGAGTTTTTCAACTTCTTGATCTCTTTCGTCAAATGTCTTACGCAGTCTCTTGAAACAGGTATCCTGGTCCATCATTAGCTCAGGAAATCGGAGTGTCTTGGGAGGGAAGGTTCTACCAGAGTGTCAGGTTGTTTTCTCTTGGCCCTTTTGCGTTTGCGGGATGGTTCTATGTTACCACTCGTAGCATCGTTTGGTTCAATTGGGGTCTCAAGAGATGTACGTGGAGACGTCCTTTGGGCCTGTGAATTCCCTGACCGCCAGCTCGGGGGTAGTTCGTCATCCTCAATAAGAATCGTGCTTGAAGGGCTGGTCATCGTGGCTTTAAAAGAAGAGATGTGTACCTAGGTGCTAGGTTGACCAGGTGGGAGGAAAGTAGAAGTTTGACTGAGTCAGAGTTGGGGCACAAGGCTCATTATATACCAGAGAGCCAGCAGCTCGAGTGGGCTACTGCTAAGAGACGATTGGACACTACTTTGCGTGATTCATCGTACATATGTATGTAACCCGATTAGATTGCACAAAACTGAAATAGCATACATAAGACATTAAGTGCTGCAAAGCACTTTATTATCCTAACCAATTCGGCAACTATCCCGATCCCTCCAGTTGACACTTTAGGTACTTGCGATAACTGGAATGTCGGTCTTTTCACCAAGAACTTCTTTCACGTTTGACATGCGCATAAAGGACAAATGAGCGGTCTCTCAATTCTTCGACGCCGTTTCATTTGCCTGCCTTGTTCTGGTCTAAACCCAGCTAGCTGTTCTGCTGGTTAATCTACGATATGCTGCGCCAGGGAGCTATATTTAACTATCGCTCCCAGGATCATGGTCATGGCCTGGGAGCTTAATGTCCTCTAACTGTACATGTCACTCCTGGGAGCGAGATAGATCGTTCCTGGGCTCTCCCGTCGTTTACCGGCCTTCTAGTCCTCTGGGAACTGTGGTCACGCTTCTAGATACATATGGGTCGTGCAGGGGAACTCTATAAGGGTAAGATGATATGAGAACCACTACAATATTACTTCCGTAGATAACTGAAAGGTGGGCAAGGACTAAAGCAGAGAGACTTGCTCTAGCCTCGAATATGGAAGGTTACTCGGACTATAGCTTTACTGTGCATAAATCAGGAGGTATAGGGCTATTCGGAAATTAATTTAGCCGAGACCGGGCTTGACTCTGAACAAGCAGCATTCAGAGTGCCACCAGTCCAAATCAGGCTGCTTGAGCAAGAATGATATTATTTGGGGTGTAATAATGTAAAAGACAAATTCTCATGCTTTAGTTAGATTGTACTTTCTTATATCTTTTTAGATCAGCTTATCGTGAGAGCATAACTTTGAGACTGATGCGGGGGTATCAAAAATGAGGCAGCGTTCCTTCTTTACCACTCGGCCTCTAGGGATTGAGAGGTAGGCCAGATGAATAATTTCTCAAGAAGATCAATCTGCTCCGGTAGTATCTAGTCTTCTACTTGAAGTACCTTCTTCGCCTCTTTGTCATCAACAGCAGCCCCCGAGAGCTGTCGCTCAATGTCTATGATGGCCTATTTGCGGTCAAACTCATGGCGCACCTTCCGTCTCAGTGCTCTTTCCAACCGGCCGAATGTATTGGAGGTTTCGCGTGTCAGTTTCTCTAATCGCGATTGCATCGCTGCACTAGGCTCGCATTTGCACTCTTCGGCTTGCTCCCTCATTCGCCGAGTGGCCTCGACATATTCTAAATGTTCGCGAAGGGACGCTGGGAAGGCGACGCAGGAAAGATCGATGACGAAAGACTGTGTTGCGTTACGAGCGAAGTGAAATTGGATGCTCGCTGTGGGACATCCACCATAATAGTTTCAAATGTAGTTACCAAAACACGGGTATACAAGAATACAGTATCGGAAACGTCCAAGAAAAGGACCGGTTGCTGCGCCGGATGATTTGGAATTTACTCAAAGTTTTACCATTCCTAGCCCTCGTTGATACATATAGTATTCATTTTGGTTTCGTTGCGATTGAGAATAACATGTTTAGTCATCTCCTTGGAAGCCAATCATCGACCTGATGTAGACTCTAGCTCGGGCCCCTGGACCCCAGGAACAAGATGTGGGGCTCCCCGGAACTAACCACAGCCCAGGAACGCCAGACGCGCTCCTAGGCACGGATCAAGTGATCCCAGAAACACCTCAAGAACAAAGTGTCCTCTAGGAACTCTAAGTCTGATCCCTAGGAGCGACCAAGAGCGTGCCTAGGAACCATACTGTAGATCCTAGGAACAAGAGTCCTAGTAAGCGGGTCTAGAATACTTGAAATTTACTCAAGGGTTTACCATTCCTACCCCTCGTTAAAACATTTGATTTCGCTGTTGCGATTGAGAAGAGCATGTTTAGTCATCTCCTTGGAAGCCAAGGCAAAGCAGGTTGAATAACTAGTGACATCATCGTATCAGAAGCAGGAAGGTAACGATATAGATCATCTTGTGTAAGAAATTCCATCGTGAAGACATCGATGTACTCACGAATATTAATCGTTGGATCACGTCTATTGTAGGAAATACAACGGTTTCAGCGCTATATTGCTGTTTAAATAAAGCGTTTATTTTGGTGTTATTCACGCACTTTCTTGGCAACTTAAATAAAACAACTAGAAACTTGCGGGACTAACAAACCTTTTCCCGAGGTACTTCCATTGAAACAATCTGTATCAAGCCCATATAACACAGAAGACATTGTAAACTTTCCCGAGATTTTGTTCATGTCCACACAGAGTATGCGGCCTGATGTATCTGTGGCAACTTTGACTGTGCGATTAGATATTTCGCAAGCGTGCTTATATATCATCATGCCTTTAACGCGACACACTGCTATATCCAGATATGGATCATGGGAGCTGGGTCTTTTTCTGGTGCAGGCTCGGCATATAGTCGCAACTAAATGAGATGATGGTTCTGGCGTTGTATCCTTGTAGTGAAGGAAGTCCAATTGTTCATGGCCTTCATACTCAATCAACAAGGCTGCCGGACACCGGTAGCACCAAACAAACATGTGACTACGTGTCAAGTCCAGTTGTTTCTTTGCAAATAATAAGCGGAGTTCAAAATGCATCAACCAAACTTTTGACTCACATAATTTACCCTCATGCATGCCACGTCGTCATGTTGGGCACTTCTGACCGTTGCTTCAGACTGTGGTGTATCAAGGACAAATCCACTTGAGTTATCGTCCTCGTAGGGGCCTTCTAATAAATCTTTGGACTCTGAAATCCCTGACCCAATAGCCTCACTAGATTGAATAGGGTATTCAACTTCAGCTTCGATGGCCTCAGGTGATTCAACATTGTTTTCAACATGCTCTGGCCCGGGCTCGGGTTCGGGTGCGAAGCTGGTAGATGGTTTTGCCTTGCGCGAACGGCACTTTGAACAAATATGTTTCTTTCCTCCCATGATTTTAATAACTGAAGAGGGTGGGTATATCTTCACTGAATTGAAGTGTAAGAATCTGCGGAGGTTGATTATTTTATTCTCCAAGGGCTACAACTCTGTTCACTGTATCGATTACGACACTACTTGGTGCCTAACCAATTAACAATTGGCATGAAGCAGACTTTCGGGGAATTACTCTGTTCAAAGTATAACATTTGGTCCTTTGCATCATTGATTTAGTCCTAAGTCATAATAATTACCCACTGCAGAGTTCCGACCAGGGTGGATACATGCGCTATGTTTGAGTTACTCACCGCAAGCATCCACATGTAAGCGTGATAGGACTAGACCTCGACAGAAGTCGCGATTTCCCAGGCCTGGTTCACGTGAATCTACTATAGGGTTTGAATATCAGTGTACGGTTGGGAACCGACCCAGAGCAACGACGTCATTCAATATTATTGGTGGCGATCAGTGGGGCTGGGTGGAGATTCAGGACTCCCAAGTCAAAATAGGAAGGCGGGGTCACCCAGCTGACCTCAGCCAGCCGGCAAATATCACGCTTTCACAATGCCATTAAAGATTGGTTTCACTATAAGAGCCGTACCTTCGCAGACCTGATAGAAATAGAATGTATAAGTTCTGTACTGTATGCCACTACCATCAAACACTGAGCGAGACACTAGAAAGTTACACCACACGAATCCAGCAAAAATGTTGATTTGATTGGCATCTCATAGATAATCATCTTCTATCTCGCATTTCACATCTGCTTCGCCACGGACACCAGGCGCTCTCCTGAGCGTTGATCCGACAAGGCTAAGCCCAGTTTGCAGGTGCTAAGGCCATATGTCTTCCCTTGCCGTTAAATGTCTTGGATTTGGAGAGCCGTACGCGGTTCTTCACTTCCATCTCTACTTTCGTTGCCCATTGTCGAGTCATTCGGCCATCATATTTTTGCCATAACTTGGGTAAAAATTGTACGTCCTGCGCACAGTATTGTCGAATTTCATCTGGAAGGGGTCGAGTGTTGAAAACTTCGTAAGAGCCACCACATTCAGGTGCAAACAATTTTCTTCCTTTGTCTTTGAAAGCTTTCCAATTCGCTCTTTCATCCGCAGTCATTCCAGCATCGTTTTCTATGCATTTACCTAGTCCATTCACGCATCTTTTCGAGAACTTGCGCGTTGCAAGCTCCATCAACTGAAGATCTTGCACGCCTGATAATTCAATCTGATAGTGGCTGAAAAGAGCATCTGAATCGTTGCGGACGTCGAAAAACACCTTAGGAATAGAAGGCGACTCAAGGATAGCCCGAAGTGTAGTTCCGCTCGGTGCAGGATAAGAAAACGCTTTATCCTTCAGGCCGTATATGTCAATCAAGAATGTTGATCTTTGCGGGAGGACAAAAATTTGCAGAATCGAGATCGTTCCATGTCGAGAGAGGTTGACGCCCTCGAGGTCGATATATAAAGAGGGGGGGTTTTGCCGGCAGATGAGTCAAATCGCCTATCATCTCAGCCACCCCTGCACAAGTATCGATAAAAGTAACAGAAGCCTTGTCTTCCAACGCTGAGCTTTGGAAAGCCGCCGTGAGCGATGTCAAGGCATCTTGATCAAGATTCACCGATACTGCTGCATGTGGTGATTGAGACTGCTCGGTGGTCGGTATCGGCGTCAATACCCTTGCACTTTCGAGGGAAGCCGCAGTGATAGCTTTCAATGTTAGCGCAGCTTTTTTTCCGTAACAAAACCAACTCACTCGACATGTTGAGGACAAAGGCGTTCGAGTGAATGATCTGAGAGTAGTAAAGATGGAACGCACAGTAATGTCACTAGGAGCAGCTACTAGTCAAAAAATGGGAATGTGAAGATTTTATGTCTAAGGCTACAGATACGAGGCAACCTTGCAGGCGAACGAGCAATATCTTGATTTAGATTATGTACTTCCACTCGCGGACCCTTTATTGGTCATATTGCATTCTCTACTCCTATTTGAGCTATTTTATTCCGCGTTATACAAGTCAAAGAGTCTAGACCAAGTAGATTGCGACAATATATCTCAATTAAATACTAATTGAAAGAAAGTAGCCAATTATAGATATACATGTACTACTTCGATGGTCCATGTCCGGAGGGAATTCTGTACTTGTTAATACACAGAAGCTGCTGTGTACCGTGTTCTTGTTGCCACATATGGCCTGCAGAACGTGTCGCTCCCTCATTTGTGCCATTCGATCTTCCACATGTACGCCGCTCCAAGAGTAATGAGCTGTTATTTGTTATGCATCTGGTGACCATGAGATAATTAAATCCAACCGCACCTTCTTGACGAATAATGTTTTCAATTTCAAGTGGTCCCGGTCTCCCCATAACCCGAAATATCGGGAAAGTAGCAAGAACAGAAGACAAACCAGATTCGGTGAAGCGCAGATGATCTGAGAGCGCCAGTGTCTGACCAGGATCTGGAGAACTGGGTGAAGCTCCAGGAATCGGATATGGCCACTTTCTATAATGCTCATGTTATGGCGCAAAGTTGTTATTTCCTGGAAACGACGATCGCTGTGGTATAGTTAGTGTCGGTTGATAAACATTGATTCTAGGCTTCACTTGCTCATACCAAAAACTTACGGATCCTGATGATGGCGCGCTTGCTGCAGTCAGCAGCATCAGCCATCTGGGAAGCGGTCAGTTCTTCACTGGTAATCATATCATGAATAAGTACGAGCGTATATTTGGCTATGTTAGGAGCCATGGTTCGCTATTACTCAGTACCCCACCTTTCTCCCTCTTTTGTATGGTAATTACGGGGTCCCGAGACAACACTTACAAGTCACTCTCGAGTATCCCATGGGTCTTCCAAGACATGGAAGAATAGGTTCCGTCCACATATCAACCGTGAACCAATTCTGCAGATGTGTATTTAACATACCTCTGCCTGCCACTCGTTTTATCTACAATCAATCAATTCATCCCGTTTTAGCTGGTTCCGCCTGATCCCCATTCGCCAAAGTGCATACTAGTAGATACGATTTTACATCGCTCTGTTAGTAGCACTCTCTAGCTCTGACAGGTAATAAACCTGAGCGATAATAATTAATACAAAATCCGGTATTTCGACTGTACAAAGCCTAGACCGGTGATATTATTAGGTGGTTCTAAAAACGGTTTAGCGCTTCTTGGCACCAGAGACAGAAAAACAATCAAAGAGCCTGAGGTGGTGACACCGATTTCCGGAAGTACTGTAGTGAAATTTATTATTCGACGAGCGTTAATGTGCAGTAGCACTCAAAATTTGCAGCCCACTAGAGCAGACAGGGCAAAGGAACCCTGAGTGCAGCTCGTAGGTTGATAAAGGTTCTGGAGTACTATAAATCACACATGCCTCTAAGGCGAAGGTATGTAAAGTAGTGTTTCAATAGCCTACTGAGTGAAGTTCTGAGCTCTGTGATCGGCATGGGACACTTGGATGGAGTATATGGAGATCCAAATACTCGCCGTGGTTAGAAGATTCGGCGCAGGTAATGCTATAACTTGTCGATCGTGGTATGCGCTGATTTTATTACTATGACTCGTTATTAGAGATTTTGGCTACAAGTGGTCATCCGCATTTCCTCAAAATCAAGAATTGCGCGATCGGATGTCTGCATATTGTACATGCTTGACCTCGCTTTGTAGGACACATTTAAGAGAGAAACATGAAACATCGAATATTCAAGGAAGGGGTAGGCCAAGAGCTGGTAAAGGTAGGCAGGAGACAGTTCCATGCATTCTTTGCGCATGGTTCAGGAGTCCCGGTTTTGACATCAGCTTTTCCCCGCAAATGTTGCACTCACAGTGCATGTCATTTGGGAACGGCTTGATATGTTTGTTGACAAAGTGTCGGCTGAGAGACCCGGGGTTCTTGTACATTTTTAGGCGTTCGCGTTCTGGAAGTCTGGTATTACCAAGACAAATAAAGCAGATCGTTGGTCTCTCTCCTGGAAATTTGACGCAAACAGAAGCGATCGCTTCAGAGAAAGTATCACCACTCTCATCTGAGGGGATAGGCTTCTGCCTCTTAGGCAGGGGGGCAGCAGGTGGCATATCGGCAGCATCGGCAGCATCGGCAGTGCGTTTTTGCGGGGCATAAGGCCGCGAGGGAGCACCCTCTTCCGCATCACAAACCGCAATCACTGCATTGATTGCAGCAATTCGACGCTCATATTCTTTCTCGACTGTTGTACCCGGTAGAGTCAGAACACTGTCGATAAGTGTCATATGCTGCGGTGTCATATAGCCGGTACGCTGTAACGCCCCCATAACTTCTTCGTCAACAACTTTTCCGGAAAGTTGCCGCTCGCTGTCGATCACCGGCTGCTCATTTTTGTACCGCTCCAGATTTTCACGAATCAATCGGTGCTTTTGCCATCCCTTCTCATTTCGTAATTGCTTCACTGCGCGATCATACTGCTCATCTGCATGATCAAATTTCTGGCGTAACTTTTTGACACCTTTCTCTTTAGCCTTCCACCGCTTACGGATTGTTTGGGAATGAGGGCCACTCTGCGGTGGGTTATCGCCGAACTCCTGCTGTAATCCAGCGTGCGCTTCTTCATAGGTGCGCTTCTTAGCGTCTCGAATTCGCTTTCTCGCCTGTTTTCTATCTTCCAGGGTACGCACGCGGGGAATGTCTTTGATACAGCTCGAATCCTCAAGCCGATAGGGTCTGCGAGGATCAATCGATCGACTCATTGAGCAGGCAAACCGCATGAGCTGTTTCTGAGCGGGCATGCCCCGTACAATTGCCTGGGCATCTACGTGGATACCCACACTATAGTGCCGGACAAAAGTATCAATACTGGCGTGCTGCAGCATCACGTTCTGCAATTCATTTGATACGTCCGCTGGTAGAGAGGAACGCATTAGCCAAAAAAATCCCATATGCGCAATGTGTCACTCACGACTATCGTTGAACGCTTTTGCTGCGCCATATCGAAGACAATATGGCTTCGCGACTTCCGCGAAGCCGGTAATCTCACCACCTCGTTTCATTCTGTAACGCAGCCATGACCCGGTAAGTCCCTTTTCGAGTGCGATTCGAAGGCCATCAGCCTCTCGTACTGCTTGGCAAAACACATTCTGATCGAGAATTTCGTCCTTCAGCTTTAATTCCTGCTCACCAAGTCCATCTAGGATCCGAAGACGGTACAATTTCTCGGGACAGTCCATCACAGGGCTGTCTTTTGATAGACTTTTAAATGCGCCAATTCTGAATAGCATGCCTAGCAGGAAAACATGAGGACTAAGGACCAACGTGGGATCAAAGATGATCTCCGGAATCGGGAATGTGTTTCTGGTTGAAAATGATAAGCAAAAGGGCGCTGAGAAGCATATGACGGGAGGAAAGACAAGCATAAGGAATGGCTTAGTGAGGGAATATTCTTACGACTCTTTTTCACCAAGAAATGATTTTGTGAATTCCGGTCTCAAGTAGATGAAAAGTCGAGGACGTCCTCCATTCGGATCCCGAACCAGTGTCAACTTGAGATCCTGGAAGCGAAGTTTCAGTAGTGCCCCGGGACGGCTACCGGTGATGGCGGCCAGCTGGCAGAAAAGGAGGAGTTGCATCCTGTACCAGCCGCAAGGAAAAGTCATCTCTGTCGTGGACAGGATCACCCGGGCAAACTCGGCCACATCCTCGATATACATGGTCGCTTTCGGTCGACCTTTGAGGGAAAGTTTCTTGTCTGTGGCAACTATCGCGAGCACCTATGGAACGTCAGTCGCGTATCGTCCATGGCAATATCGATACTCAATCGGGATCTCACATCGCGGATCTTAACTTGGATATCTTTGCTGAGCTCATGTCCAACCTCGGCCTTGTAGATTAGATGCCACCACTTCCAGAATAAGTCGAGCGAGCTTTTAGTCTTCACTCCTGGGGTGCGACGTCCATCCTTTCCACGTCGCTGGTCACACCGCCAGGAGAAGAGAGCCTTGAGGAAGCGTACCGTCTCCTCTGTATCAGAGAGCCAGGACAAACATTCCACTGGACCGCGCTTTGTGCCATTACAGAACCTAGAACAATCAGCCAACCCAGTAATAGAAGCGAGATGTTGCAATGATGTCTCACCTATTCCAAAAATCTTGCGTCTCATCCAATCTCTCCTGAGTTTTCGGGCTGTAGCGTTTCTGTCGGAGCTGGGAGACATCAAGAGACTCGGCCTCCTGGAGATAGTATTCTGGTGGAAGTTGCTCTTCTTCATCTTCCGAAGCCAGTTCATCTTCGGACTCATCTTCAGACTCGGATTCGGATTCGCTGCTTGGGTCGAAGATGCTAGTTGCGGTGGAGGTTTCAGAGTCTGAAGCGTTGTTCGAGAAGATCTCGGGCAGGCGTGAGCTAGTGTCGCTCTCACTGTCAGGCAGAGCAGGCCACGGAGAAGGCATGGCAGCGGAACACAGTATGGGATTGAAGAGGGGCAGCAAAGACGAGTAGGAGCACGAGAGAATAGTCGTGAGTGATATTATTCCACTTTGAGCAAGTCACCCGTTGGAAACCCAGACCTGGGGCTGGGGGAGTTGCTGGAGAGCGAGGGAGGACTGTCGGTCGGGGGCCATGGTGATCGATATTTATGGAAACTCAGGGGAGCAGAACGGTCAACCGGAGGAGCCAAAAATGGCTCCCCTTCGCCAGGAGGGTGACTGAGGGTGAACGAGGATGGGGCCCTCTGGCGGCTGCAGCACGAATGGACATCGGTCGATCAATGGGCCCAGGCACTAGGCACGGCCAACCCGAAACGCAGGTGGCAGTAAACGAGTCGCGCGTGGGCTTTGGTCCACGTGACGCCAAGACCGACCACGGTGAGCGAGCGGCCTAAAACGGCGTCAAAAGCGGCCGTTTCTGGCCTCCCATTCACCGTGTCATCCTTAATTAGAGTATTAAAAAAGTCGAGTTCTAGTGGGTCTTTATATCTTAAATTGGTATAAGCTTCGGTTCTATAGATTGAAGCTTATATAATAAATCCCGCCGTTATAGACTTGTATTAATAAAAACTGCTAGTTGCCTAATCTATAATAGTGTTAAGGTTAGCGTTAAGTATAGATTTAGGGCTAAAGTCTTACCTTATCTAGAGTATAGATAATCTTAAGCGTTTTAGATAGTTTTATTAAAGGACCTTTGTAAGGGCGTTTATCCCGGCCTTTATACTAATCTAACTTAGCTATCTTATTTATTAGTATTGCTTTTATTTTGCTAAGAAGATTATTAAGGCTTAGTTGGATTATATATATAATATATAGTACTCGGATAATAGCTGAATTATTATTAATCTTAAGTGAGTCAATTGAGTCTTAGAGACTCGATATTAGCGTATTGTTATTTGAGGCGTTATCTGTTATAATAGCGAGTATACGGTTTGTGATATCGTATTATTGTAGAAGTGATATTAAAATAGTACTAAGATTGATATTAGAATAAGATCTAGAAAGAGGCTTAAAACTAAGAAGGATCTCTCAATACTCCTAATCTTAGTTAAGAAAATAGCCTATTATAGCTATAAAAGCCTATTGAAATAGCGATATCTAGCAATCTAATATAAGCGATAGCTTAGTATTAGGGGGAAGTTTTCGAAGAACGTCTTATTATACCTCGAGAATAAAGTCCTTAAGCCGATGTCTTATAACCTTAGAAGATAGTATTTAGGGGGGTATTATAGGAAGTCGAGTATAAGAAATAACCTCCTAAAAGGCTATATACTTAATAAACTAGAAAGGGAGACGAGATATAGTGATTAATCTAAGAATCGATCGCTTCTATCTATCCTAGGAGAAAGATACTAGCTTAGTAGTAGGACTACTTGCCTAGTATATAAGTTAGAATATAATAGACTATATAGATTTAATAGTCTTACTGTATGTTCTATAGCCTTCTTGATATTTGGCCTTCTACTAGTATTCCGGTAATTAACCCCCTTAATATGCTTGTTTATTAAAGATGTTCTACTACGGCTAGCTTCTAGGTGATTAAGGACTCGGTTGCAATTCCTATATATTATATAAGGTTTCCTATTGCGAATATCGGCTATCTAGTCGAATTTATCCTAGTATTCGGCGGAATATTTTCTATTCTACTTTACTTTCTTCTGCTTCCTAAAATATATATAGATTTACTAGGCTGTAAAGTCGGTATTATCTTCTATTATCTAAAGAACGTATTATTTTATACGATTAGGACTAACCTATTATAGATTATCGGGGACGGGAGGGGGTAACGAAGGTCGCGCGAAATCGGAAGGAGGTAAGGAACTTTAGCTCCCTATAGGTTTAGGTGTCTAGAGCTAGGGAACTAATAGATCGTTAGTAAAGTCGAATGAGGTATTATTAAGCTAACTATTATTATTATAGAGAGATGACTGTAAATCAGAGAAAAGCGAACGCTAAGATATAATAATTATATATCCTTCTAATATAATTAAGTAAAAGATAAAGGAATTGAGGATATACTCTTTTTTTGCGACCTTAGGCCTTAAACAAATATACGATAGGACTTAGGACTTACTATAGATTTTGGTATCCTAGTTACTATAGATAGATATATTATATCTATAGACCTACTTTAGTTCAATTTTATCGCTAATTGGCTATATATTTATAGGTTATAAGGGTTACCCGCCGAATTACCTGTAAAATATAAGGGTTACCCGCCGAGTTACCCGTAAAATATAAGGGTTACCCTTATAACTCGTAATAAAGTCTTAGTAGTTTTGAACTCTAGTTTGAACCGGGTTATAATCTTTGATTACTATTTAGAGCTATATTTTATATAATCTAAGGGTTTCTAATAAACCTAAATAAAAGATCTTATAATTAATATTAGAGTAAGACAAAATTTAGTAGGAGATTTACAATTAAAGGTAGAAAGATAAAATGGTAGAATTCAGCTAAAGTATAGACTCTATACTTATAGGTAAAATATATATTTCTCTTATAATATATATAGACTACTAAAATATCCTTCTACTATAACCTAAACCTAGATTCTAGTGTTTTTATTCCTTAAAACTAGTATAAGGTATACTATAAATAAGATATATATAATGATTTCCTAAATTTATATATAGTTAGGAAGAGTTATTATGAGTAAAGAGAAGGGTGAATAAAACAACAGTAAATAACAGTAATTTATCAAATGAATCATCTATTTTGTGCAGCTCAATTAGGAAATAATTATGTATTTGCGGGTGACGCGGGTCGGTAAGGGTAAGTCTTGGCAGAGCAATACGGGTTGAGGGTCGGCTCCCAATTCCCTCTGAGAGAACCGACCCGCATGCGGGTCGGTTTTCAATTCCAGTTTGAGGGACTCGGTGCGGGTGAGGACGAGGTCTAGTTAAATCCTAATTATTAAGCTAATATTAATCGACGAGACCGTCTTTTTAGTCGAGAAGAATCGAAAATAAAGGATAATTATAGATATATACGAGAATAGTAGTATAGATATTAGTAGATCGAAGAATAACGGAAGATAAACCGCAATCTAAACGACGAAAGTAAGATAGCGATCTCGAAGACTTAACGATAAGAGAAATTACTATCGATCGATATTAGTACTATTAGAGGTATTAGTTTTAATAGACTCTATAAAAAAGGAAGGGTTAGTAGAGAAGTCGAAACCTTTATAACTTCGCTTTATAAGATTAACTATATTATCGATATAAAGAGCGTATAGACTCGGGACCCCGAAATTAATTAGATCTTAATAACTCTCCCGAAAGAATACTATAACCTAGTAGAAGTCTTTTTAAAGAAAAAATCCGACGAGTTACTACCCTATAGACTTAGTATAGATTATAATATTATCCTTAAGGTAGAAGCGTAACCCGGATATTATCCTCTCTATAAGCTATCACTTAAAGAGTTAAAAGTAACGAAAAAATATATCCTCGATAATCTCGAAAAAGGATTTATTGTTCTAAGCTCAGCTCTATATATATCCCCGATCTTAATAGTAAGAAAACCTAATAGGGGACTTCGATTCTATATTAATTTCTAAAGGCTAAACGTAATTATAAAGAAAGACTATTACCCTCTACTACTAATCGATAAAGTACTATAATAAATAAGTAAGGCTAAGATCTATATAAAGCTTAATATCTAGTAAGGCTTCTACCGAATTCGTTTAATACTAGGGGTAGAGGACCTTACTATATTCCGTATAAGATATAGATCCTTTAAGTATAAAGTAATACTATTCGGATTAACGAATAGACCCGTAACCTTTTAAAGATTTATAAATAACGTTCTTCGAGAATACCTAGACGAATATACGGTTACCTTTATAGATAATATCTTAATCTATAGTAAAAACGTTAAAGATTACTAGCGATAGGTCAGAGAGGTACTCTATCGTCTATAAAAAGTAAGGTTATAAGTTATATTATTAAAATCTAAATTCTCTATAAAGAAGACTAAGTTCCTCGGATTTATTATAAGTACTAATAGTATAGCCGTTAATCTAGAGAAGATTTATATAGTCTAGTTATAGACAGTACCGACTATAGTAAAAGAAGTATAGTTATTCCTAGGATTCTACAATTTCTACCGACGATTTATTTAAGGATATAGTATAATTTCAAAGTTATTATATTGGTTAATAAGATAAGACGTCCCGTTCGAGTAGTTAGAGAATTATAAGAAGGTATTCTAGACTCTAAAGAAGAAGCTAGTTAGTATACCAATCCTCCGGCACTATAATCTAGTTCGACGGACCCGGGTTAAGATAGATATATCCGATAGAGTTCTAGGAATAGTACTCTCTTAATACTATAAGAAAGAAGATTTTTAGTACCCGATAGCGTTCTATTCGAAGATAATATAACCCGTAGAATTGAACTACGAAGTACGCGATAAAGAGCTCCTCGCGATCGTTCGCGCTTTATAGGAATAGAGACCTAAACTCGAAGGTCTATTCTAGAAGGATCGTTTCGAGATTCTTACTAACTATTAGTCACTTAAGTACTTTATAATAACCCGATAAATAAACTAATAATAGATAAGATAGAATAAGTTCCTATCTTAGTTCTGTTTCGTAATTAAATACTATCCCGAGAAGAAGAATATTATTACTAATATTCTATTATAAAAAGAGTCTCCTTATATAGATAATAGACGATAGTTTATAATACTTCCGAAAGACTATCTTAAGGAAGGAGTTTATCTAACCTATTTAGCTCCTATTTACTCTAAAGAGGTAGAGATAGTAGAGATCGTTAAACGGATAAAGTAAGCTAATCGTTAGAGTTTAGAGTTAGACGAATTCTGTTAAAAAGTATAGGAAGTAGGTGGTTCTCGATAGATAATATAGGACAGATTACTCCTTTATAAAGAATAGCTCGAAGTACTAGACGATAGGGATCTCCGTACTCGACTACTTAATAAGATATACTAGTAACCTTTAATAGCCTATCTAGGTATAGAAAAGATAAAGAAGCTAGTTTCGATAAGATATTACTAATATAGATAGGTAACTAACGTAAAACGATATATTAATAACTACCTAATCTATAAGTATATAAAGGCTTAGAGAGATCGAGTACCTAGATTATTACGACCTCTACCGATTCCGGAGCGATCTTAATAATATCTCTCTATAGATTTCCGTTCGTTCCCGAAGGACCGCTATAGGTACGACGTAGTTTTTATAGTTATAGACCGTTTGAGTAAAAGACCGATATCGATCCCTTATTAAAAGGAAATAAAGGCTAAGCAGATAGCTTATTTATTTATTAACTATATTATCCGAATTATAGGAATTCTAGAGATAATTATCTCCGACCGTAGAGGTCAATTTATCTCCGAATTCTAGACTAAATTCTATAGGATC